AGCGCAATCAGCCCAGATCGCAGCAGCTGCCACGGCCGCCCAGCGGCCCACCCCCACCATCTTACCCGTGCAGCTCGACATCTCGGACCGGAAATCCACCGAGGCCGCTGCGGCGCTTGTAGAGGAGGAGTTCGGGAGGCTGGACATCGTGGTTTTGAACGCGGCGATCCTGAGTGGGCGGGGCGTGGTGCTGGATAGTGATCCGGACGAGTGGTGGGAGACGATGACGGTTAATGTCAAGGGACCGTATTTGGTCACGCGGGCATTTCTGCCGCTGCTGTTGAAGGGCGGGGATAAGACGATCGTGGCGCTGAGTAGTGTGGGCGCGCATATTGTTACGCCGGGCCTGAGCGCGTATCAGGTGACGAAGCTTGCTGTGTTGCGGTTTATGGAGTTTGTGAGTGCGGAGTATGGGGGGCAGGGGGTGTTGGCGTTTGCGGTGCATCCGGGGAATATCCCGACGGATATCATTGGGGGGCCGGAGGGGCTGAGTGAGGAGTTGAAACCTAGTGAGTTGGGTTGTTTTGTAAACTGGGTGAGGGGAACTGGGCTGACTGTTGATTTAGTTTTCGTTGAGACGCCAGAGCTGAGTGCTGATACGATTGTGTTTTTGACCAAGGAAAAGAGAGAGTGGCTTGGAGGGAGGTATGTTAATTGTACGTGGGATATGCCGGAGTTGATGGCGCAGGAGGATGAGATTGTGAAGGGAGATAAGTTGAAAGTCAGACTTGTTTTCTAAATACGAAAATCAATCATAGCACCCGGGTTAAATGAAGTCAAGTCCCAATGCCCAGTGGCTTCACAATCAAATACGTTCTCTGTAGGGATGCACTTTAGAATGTTGGATACATACCAGTAGAAGAACTAGATTCCTGAGGACGGAAGTGGAATGGAGTGTAACAATTTTAAATTTTAGGGGTATCTGTGTTGAACAGATAATTGAGACTAAGCTAAGAGGGTCTGTGTTGAACAGGCAGTTAATAACAAGCGCTGACAGTAGAACCAAGATGTATTATCCAAGCCAAGAGAATAAATGAAAAGGGGCAAAGAAACTCTTGCAAGGTGAACGGCGTAGCACCAAGCTCCTAACTACCACAATTAAGGAAAAGCAACGAAGAGGTTCGCAAATGAAAGACAGGAGTCATTAACAACATGAAAATCAACTGTTCCTGCCACAAACCCCTCTCATATAAATGATCTCAAGGATACCATCACTGGCTGACCCCGTGGACCTTGTTCACGTGCTTCACCATATCGAATTCGCGCATCCACCCCTTAGTGCCAACTCGATCGCAACCAGGCTGCGGGCACTGAAATGGTGAGTCGTGATCCTTCCTCAGGTGAAGCTGACGGAGCTTTTTGTCTTCAAAGGCTTTCGATCCAATTCGACCACAGCCTTCACGGGGACATTCGAATGTAAGCGGGCCGGACTGGGATCCATCAGCTTCGATATGATGATAATTTCGGATGTGCTGACGGAGATGATCCTTGCGCTTGAAGCCCTTAGTACCTCGGTGCCTGTTCCAGTCAACTTCGAATCTAAAATATAAAGATGGTTCAAAATACCTGCGACAGTGAGGGCAAGGATGACGGGCAACGCTGGAGATATGTGTCAATTGATGTCTCAGTAGATCAGTAAGCCTTGCGGCTCCAGAACCGCAATCCGAGAAACGACAAGCATATGCAGTGTGCATAGATTTGGTTCCATGCTCGCCGAGTAGTTCATGAGTATCGGATTCCAGGCCACACTGTGCGCACCCGTATTTGATGTCAGGATGGCTTTTGGCGAAATGAACAGACCAAGCGACTGAGGATCTAGGAAGGCCTACTTCACAACCTGGAATCGCACACTTAAACGACCGGTGTTCCCGGGCCTAGGAATGCTTTTTGAGAGCGTTAATATCCTCAAATTTCTTGCCGCACTCCTCGCAGACAATTGCAAGATGAGTTAAACCACGACTTCTGGGACAGTAAAGGTCCTGAAAACCGAGCGAAGTCGCTCGGTCAATTAGCGGCCAATCGCATAAAGCACAATTTGATTTTGGATATATGGCGCGAAGGTTGAAACTTTTCTGTAAGTCAATAATGTTTCAATTAAGTCTGAAGCATTCGGAATTCTGGACTTACTTCGCTGGGAGGCTTTGCTCTTCCTCCTGGGAGGCGCTCGGATCTCCATCCTTCTGCTCATGCTCATTTTGTATGATAGGAAATAATTCTTGATGGGAAGGCTCTTCTGCTTGGGTAAGGTGTGAGAACATCCATAGCGGGTTCAGGGAGTCGGACTCGGACTCGGGGCCCATAGTTGTGGGGTTCTCGTAGACAGGCGGGCAAACATTTGAGGTGACCCTGGTATTAAAAGGCCAAATTGCCCTTTTCCTGTGAGTATGTCTTTTTTCTTGGGACTCACCAATGGGGCTGCTCCATTTGCAGCCAATCGTCCCACACCAGCAAGTCCTCCATGGATTCGTATTGGTCGCTCATGCTGCAGCGTGTGGCAGGACCGGTAACGAATGCGCTCACCGAAAGAACAGTTGAGAATTGTTTGAAAAAGCGGCGCAAGATTCGATTGGGAAGAAGGGAGCAAGAGACCTAACAGCGATGGTTTCGCAGCCTTGATTGAAACTGGGAGAGGCTCGACTCATATGCTGCCATCCAAGATTCTGCTCGCCGCTTCTGCCTGACTTCATCAGAAGAAGAAAAGGGCATCCAGCGGCTGAAAACCTGCCAACACACTGTAGCACAGATCTAAATCAATTCCAGGCCATTTGGCTCTATGGTGGTTGGCTCGAACGTGATCAGACATCCTAGTCGCCTTCAAATATTATAGACAATGAGGTGTGGGAACTACCCAGCCTTGTCTGAATTGCTGTCGTAACGGATTATACTGCAACTCTACAAGTTAACCTGTCAAAGGCTAACGCTGCTGCATCCAGTGGGATCTTGTACCAAGATTACCAAGCAATATACACAGTCCCAACAATTGTTTGAGACCCAACTGCATAATGTCGCCAGTGCCGTTGGGAGAATTGGGTGGGCCTGCGAAGATAGCGGTAAACTCGTGGGGATATTGTAGGTCACGCTCAAACTAAGAGCTCGAGAAATTCTTCCACAAGAGAGTATTTAAAGTATGTAGCCCATATAAACCCGATTTACAATATGAGGAAGGTGCGACTGATTCGTGACAAACCCCCAGACCTACCTCTCGCATTTCAGATTATGGAGACTTCCATGTCACACGTAGTCACCCCAAGATACTTGACTGAGCACCGCTTGATAAAAGTGTTCGATTGTCACCTACAGCTGTTTCGGATCTCTATTTAAGAACGCAGGTAAACGCCAGTGCCTCCGAAGAAAATGATCATATGCGCCAGCCCATCTGCATATCCTCTAGCATCATCTCATTTTCGCACCACATCTGCTCTTGTGTAATGTCATAATCTTCTTATCGATTCCCCGTATCCCGCGTGAATCATCAAATTGAGAGATGCCGCACTCAAGTCATGGCGTGAGTTCTCGTCCATTCCTTGGCCGTTGCAATCGCTCCTTCTTGGTCTTCCTTCCATCTTTTGGCTACATCCGGTGCAAGTGGGTCATCGGGATTTGGGGCACCTAGAAGGGCTTGGATCGAGAGGAGGATAGTGCGAATTTGGAGGGCCGGGGACCAGTTGCCTGCAGAACAAATATTAGCAAGAAATTCAAAGACAGATACATCGGAGATCTAGACATACTCTTGAGGACATCTAGACAGATGCGTCCGAGCTTATCGATATTTGGGTGGTAAATCTTTGTTAAGAACCGGATCTTTGGTGGGGTCATAGGATAGTCATCTGGCAAGAAGAGCTCGAGCTTGAAGATACCTCCTACATGAACATTAGAAAGGTGCACATGGGTGTGTTTTACAGTTCCATCCCGACCTTCATAAGGGGACGTTTGTGGACCATGGATTGAAACATCGAAGTATCTGAGGTTGTCCTCATGGGGAACTGCGCTGATACCAGGAACACTGCCGCCTCGAGTATTAGTTCAGATCTCACTTTTGCTGATACTGTATGCTCACGGTTCTTTCGCTAATCGCTCTGTCTCCTTGATGATTCTCTTTGGTAAAGCCGCCATATTGAAGACTAAACCGTGGTGTAGGTCTAATCGCGGGGTCGAAGGTTCGCTGAGGACTTTGGGAAATATCGCACGCAGGTGCGTAGCTCTTGAAAGTGGACAGAGAGGTTTGCAGATAGCAAGGCAAGTCTGCGAGGCAATTGTGAAGGAATACTTGGGATCTACTTCGCTCCTTCTGGTGAAAAGAAGATCAGTCTATGGTTGATGTTAGCGGGGAGACATGGAAACCAGGAGGGGTCTGATTTAACCACCTGCTTAAATATCGGCAAAACTTGTATCTGATAAAGCGGGTACCTTGAACTTTCTCCCGAGAACGGTGAATAGTGTCAAGTCAAGTCAAGTCAAGTCAAGTCAAAGAATGTGATGCAAGGCAAGGCAATATAATATGAGATGTTTGACTTCATTTGGTCGGCGCCGGCAAGTCCCGCTGACCGATTAAGCTAGCCCAAAGTGGGGTTGGGGAGTTGGGGGGGACAAACAGAGAGGAATCAGAGCTTAACGTATTGCGTAGGATCTCTTTTCACTGCGAATAACCTCAATACTAAACAAATACGGCACGGCGCACCATTCGGGAATCTGAAGAATGCCCCCAATCTGCTAATATCACCATGCCCTGCGGAAGGTTCAAGCAAGCAGCTCACACAACAAACAGCCCACACAGCAAACAAGGCGACGGCACCTGGCAGTTGCAGCTCGAAGATGATGCGAGTCCCCGCAATTCACGATCATGATGGATGAGGCACGGAAAGGGAAGACTATCAAGTCTGCCTTTGACAGCCCTACATTTGATACAGATGTTACTATACTTGTTGAACGTAATGTAGGGTCCGCAACGATATCCCCCTCCGGGAGGGATATTGCTCTTGCTTCGTATGTTTATCCCGCTATACTGATGGATTTCGCTGACCTGGTATAGCACTGATGGGCTCGATATAATTGACCTCGATTCTCCTCTGAACCCTCCCCGCCATCTGCGACATGGACTTCCCTGGCTTGTAGCAGATGTACAATGGTCCCCTTTTGCAGCGAGAGACTATTGGGTGGTCAGCACCGCAAACCAGAAGGCGCTGGTATGGAACCTGAATATGCAAGAGGATACATCACAAGGCGCGATCGAACATACGCTTCACGGTCATACGAGAGCTATCACGGATATCAACTTCTCGGCTCATCACCCAGATTTGCTCGCATCGTGTGCGGTCGACGGATTTGTACACGAATGGGATTTGCGCAGGCCCAGACGGCCTGCCATTACGTTTTGCGATTGGTTCGCAGGGGCAACCCAAGTCAAATACAACCGCCAAGATTCTCATATTCTAGCTTCATCTCATGATCGTTGGCTGAGGATCTGGGATGATCGAAAGGGGTCAACACCGTTGAGATCGATAAATGCACACGAGTCAAAGATATATGGCGTGGACTGGAACCGAACTAGGACAACAAAAATTGTGACCTGCTCTCTAGACAAGAGCATCAAGTTTTGGGACTACGAAAACGACGTAGATGAACCCGAACGTATCATAAGGACTGATTTTCCAGTCTGGCGAGCTCGGCATACTCCTTTTGGGTGGGGCGTGCTAGCTATGCCACAGGATACTCCCGGAATTCTGCACCTGTATGACCAACGACTTCAGGAGGATGCTATCAAAGACGGACCTTCTCCAAGTGTTGCTACATTTCCGGGACATGGCAATTCGCGGGTTAAAGAATTCTTGTGGAGGAGTCGAGGAGGGGTTACAGACGAGGGCGTCGACAATCGTGAATTCCAACTAGTCTCTTGGGGGGATGATAATCATTTACGACTTCAGCACGTCGATCCACAAACACTCGACGGAGTTGGTTATGTGAAAGGCACTCGGGTCCTCCAGAAACTAAGTTTGACTCGCCAGGGTGCCGTGTATAAGACGTTTCGCACTGTTGAAAATTCCTCTATTGAGAAGAAAAACTCTACAATATCGGGCCCCCGACCTGCAAGTTCCGGCTTGAAGGTCAGTGCATTGAAGGTGGTGGGAATGAAGAAAATGGCTTTACCTCGGAATAGTCGAACCCATATGATGGTTCGAGCTCCTGCGATAACAGGCAAAGACAAATCTCTCAAGCACGACGACCAAAACCAAAACCAAATTGGTTGGATGAGTGGAATCAAATTCAGCAAGCCGGAGAATAGAAGTGCTTCACAACTACGACCTTCATCGAGAAGATTTTCCCTTCTGAATCCCGAACTCACAGACGAAGAGGATTGGGACCCCCCGGAGAGCTTGCATGATGAGATTATCCGCATTCATGAACAACTGCCCAAAATTACTTTCGACGATGTGAACATGGACACAAGGACCTTGGTCGCGTCGATGAATGGGCCGTGGGGAGAGGACGGCAATCCTATTTATACTAAAGTCACCGTGGCATTCCCAGACCAGTATCCCGAATCGAAAGCCCCAACCTTTACCATAGGCAAGACATCACTCATGTCAGATGCGGTATACGAAAAATTGAAACGGGAAGTACAACAAATATCTGCAGGTTTTGTGGCGCGGAGGCGAGGATGTCTGGAAGCCACCCTTTGTTATCTCCTAGGCGAAGTTGATCTTGAGACAAGTACAACGTTCTTCAAAGATGATACTGATGACGACTTGGATGCTCTTGCCGACGAGAGTTCAAGTGATGACGACGATGGTGACATCCCAGCCGGTGCTTCAGCGATGATGTCTCAAGAACTAGACTCGAGTGTAGACATGCTTCCCCCAATAAATCGCAATGCGAATGTTCCATTACCAAGGTTTTGCGGGGCTCGGTTTTCAGCAACCGGCAAGCTAGTTTGTTTCTTCCCACCTAAAGAAGACAAGGTCAAGTCGCTTCTGGAGACCTTCGTTGCAAAGAATAATGCGCGTTCGCGTGGGGAACCCAGCTTTGAAAACTTTGGCCGTCTAAACAACAATACCTCGCCTATCCCCCGAATCAAAGCGATGTCTCTTGCATCAGAAAGCAAGTATGATTCTGATGAATCTGACGATTCGGAGGCGTCATCGTCTAGCGATTCGGACTCCTCTCACTACCGCGTTACCCGTTTCCCAATGTCTGATTACTTCCGCCGATCGGCCCGTCGACCTTGGGCAAGAGCCTCTCCAACTATACTGTCCCAGCGATCAAGTGCGGGAGGGACGGGAACTGGAACGGGTACCGGGACGGGATTAGGCAGGAGTAGACCCTCGAAGCCGAAAAATATCATAGCCGTGCATGATATCTCTGATCTACTTCCGTCAAAGCAGGTACTCGCTGATAACTATGCCATATTCGGGGATGGACCAGATGTGTGTGAGCATAATTCAACTGTTGCTGAAACACATGGGTTCAGCGATCTTGCTGACGTCTGGAGATATGCCGCTCTGCTATTGCACAACGAAATTCCGTTGGAAGTGTTAGATAAGCTCCATGACGGCGAACCAGTCCTTGTCATAGCCCGAGATGCTATCAAACGGGAACGAAGCAATAGTGGATCTGACAGTGGAGTTGACATATCTTTTGATGCGCAAGGGCGGCCGAACAGTCTGTCGGGACGAGTTAAGTGGGGTCATAGTCCACTGGCAAAGCAGCTCATCTGTGATTTGTTCGCGCATTTCGAGTCACTGGCAGATGTCCAGATGCTAGCAATGCTTTCATGCATATTCAACGAGCCAGTTTCGAACGATGTAGTCTCGCGATCAAAGTCGCAGTTGACCCAGCCTCAAACACCAATTTCAATGAAAACTCCAGCGTTCTCACTAGACTATTTTCCTACGGATTGGAGCAAGTATCTCAAGACTCCTAATCATTCCGCGGTATCGACCCCAAAGACAGCCCATACCCCTTCTGGCTTGTACGGATCTGTAGGCTCATCGACAGGAGCTTGGGGAAGCGATCCAGCATCGGCATCCTATTCTTGTGGAGAAACGCCTCCTCTTCGTTCAAGTCGTACAAGTCTAGAACATCTTAATCACCAGCCCCAAAGCTTATCCACATCACCAGACAATTCTCGAGGCTATCGTCGCGTCAACTCGGGAATTGCTTCCAGTTTTGCTGCCAGCTTTTCTCGGCCATTCTCTATGACAGCACCATCCTCGCCCCCAAATCCACCCCCAAGCCGCAAACGGCCAAGTCCTGTAGAAAACCTGATGAGCTCTATAGCACCAAGTGTTGTTACTTGGGGAAACACAACAGTTATAGGCAGTGTAAGGGAACAGACGAATACTGGAAGGTCATCCATGTCCGATGATGAAGATGCAAAGGACGGGTTCAAGCCAACAATCTGCACTGGCATCAGCGTAACCATGGAAAATCAACATGCTTTCGATGACGAAGGATGCATAACCGCAGGCCTATTAGATCCAAGCGGTTCCTCGCTCTATGCAGGCTACCGCAGAGCTTACGCTGAGCTTCTCTACATCTGGGGCCATCCACTTGCTCGACTAGAAATACTCAAGTTCAACGGCCTCAAAGACCTATTCTCTGAAGTGGATATCCCAGACACTAGGTCATTTGCAGGCTCCACGCTCTCCAACGATACCCACGCGCTGAATCATCCATCTCCTTCAATATCTCTAGGCAAGAAAGACCACAGCCATCCGCTATCGCCAGGCTTGGATCATGGTCTCGATGTAACCGGGTATTGCCTCAAAGATGAATGCCGTCTCGAACCACTAGGTCCAAGTAATGGGGGCGGCGCTATCGGTCGCTGTGAAAAATGCAAAACCACCCAACGTGAGCTCCGTTGCATCATTTGCTTGGAACCTATCAGCGCGCTGTTTTCACCTTGTCTTCATTGCAACTGCGCAACTCATCAAGACTGTCTACTCGAGTATCACTCTTATGGCAACACCGAATGCCCAGGCGGATGCGACTGCGATTGTGGTGACAAGGCAAGCATTGGCCTAATTGAAAGCTGGGGGGTTCTGACGAGTGCTATTGAGCAAATGAGACTTTTGGATGCACAGAGTTCGGGAAAGGAGAAGGAGCTGCTGCATGAATGGGGCGGAGAGGAAAAGAGCGATTGGGATACTCTTGATGCTCCTGGTGGCGGGATGGGACGGGGTTACTCTACTTTGAGTAAGAGATTTGTTGGCGTTCGAAATGGGGACTGGGGCATACCTAGTGGGAAGAAGAAGGCTAGTAGCCTGAGGAACGAAGAATTGTTTTGATAGTAATCTTGAATATGTATCGGTGTTGAGTGTTAGGTGTTGGGTATTGGGCATCGGGCATTTGTATCAGTATAATCTGGGGCGTCAACTAGCCGCACGGCATGTTGTATGCTGTATAATATCTTAATATCAAAGAATATTAATGAAGCCGTTATGGCAGCTTTCGACTTCCGTGGTATTTTCTAGGATGCTGTTCTTTTGAAGTCAGTTTGCCAATCTGTTGTCGTCTTGCTTGCAAGTTTTTCAAAAGAAATTGAAGTATCATTTCGGGCCCTCATCGCCACAGTTTAATGCTTTCATGTTCTCTTTATTTTTCTTGATCCACTGCACTTTATTGATTCCGCAACTGAAACCAATGCCCAAGATGGGGTTTGAGGAAAGAGATTTTGGTCTACTCAAAGCAGAGTATCAGGGAGGCTTTGCGGATCTATTAAGCTTGTCTAATGATTAGATGAAGTAAGAATCTCTTTTGTTATCACATCTGCAAATACTGATTTGAAATTTGCAACATTGGATATATAATTACTAAAATCGTCATAATACTATTCCACATCCACATTAGCACTCTTAACACCTCCTCTTATTATTTTACTCCACACAGCATTCTACTTTGAATTAAACCTTATTCTAGACGTCAAAGTGGCAAGCCAACCTATTGGCGGCTTGGTGACGTGGGTATATTATGTTTCGGTGGGCTCCTTCAGCCACTCGAGAGTCTGGTATTGGATCTAGACGGTTTCCTTGTCATGATGACCGTTGGTTGCCGGATCTTCAGGTACCGCAGGTGATTTTTCTGATTTAGATGATCGACTTCCCAAACCACTCAAGTCAACGACAGGAAGCGTGATCGGGAAGTTCACCGAGACCAGGGTCAATGCAAAGAAGAAGTACCATCCGAATATCGAAGCCACGAAGCCAAACGCACCAGCAGCCTGTTCATGTTAGCCGTATACTTTTATATGGATTGTGTCAAGCGTACCTTCTGTACTTTCTTGGCGTTTGAGCCGTCATCGGCAATCCGGAAGAAGGCAGAGGCGAGCAGGGCGAAGAAGAGGAAGACAAAGAATTCGAGGAGGGTGTAGCAAAGGTTTGTTCGAAGCGCACAGATACAAGCCAGGAAGGAGAATACTGCCATGAAGACCAAGTAAAAGCCTGGATTCCTCTGTTAGTAAAAATATTTTCCAAGATTTGGTAGCCCTACCGAAACTCGCGTTGAAGCCTACGGATGATAGTCCTGCTGCTGCATTGGTCGCATCGGCGGAATAGTGCTCGTAGGCTCCAAAGTAAGGCGTTAGAGTCGCACCCAAGGCTAGCCAGAAACTCCCTGAAGATACTGTTAGCAAAGTCTGATTTCGTATACGAATTTGAGTCGGAAAGGCCGTACCATAGCCACAGAACAAGATGAACTGGAATGTGTTGCCTAGAAAGAACTCCAGAAGGCCACTGACGATCATCAAAAGTCCACCGGCGAAGTAATAAACACCCCTAGACGACTTATTAGTCGCGACTCCAAGAAACAGCGCAGGTCAAATGGATGTGAAGACTAACGTGGATGCAGCACCGAGCACGCCGGCTCCTCTCCAACCCATGAGATCGCAAGAGAGCGGAGCTAAACTTATGACTAAGCCCAGAATAGCTCTTGAAAATATGTCAGCAAACACACTTGCCATCCATGATTGTCCAAGCAGCAAATACATACAAAGGCGTTGGATTTCCAAAGGCGGCACGAAAGTCCCTTGTTTTGTTCGACGACGATGACAGATACAACCTCTCGAACTGTTCTGGTGTCAACGACACTGTCGTGGCTGTATTACTTGATTCTGCCATTCTGGGTGCTGGCTTTAAAACTCTGGGAATTGGGGGGAATTGACTAGTAAAGTTGCTGGAATTGCTATGGTTGGTATTCTATCTATTCTATCGACGGCGCTTGAAGGGTATCTTATATCTGGCTCATATTCCAGTCCCCATAGTTCTCGGAAATCCTGGGAATACATTTTGCTATAGAAATGCATCTAGCGCTTTCAGATGTCTTGGATTGGCTGGCTCTTGTTCACTGTCTTTTTATCTTAGTACTACATGACCTGTGAACCTCACGTTGTTTATGGATAAGTCACTCCATCTCATATCACATCTGGCGACTTTAAATAAGATCGACGTTGGATTTTCTATTCGTAGACATTCAAGTGGCCCCCGAACGGCATAAGAGTGGGGAAAGTGATTACCAGGAAGACTCTTCCCCTCAGTCATGGATGTTTGTGGGGTGAGTTCAGAGAGTTTCCGTCGCTGCTTGCCGTGTCGTATGATATTCACTACGGAGGGAGCCTCCGGATACGTCGGCTTTAATTATTTGTAGATCTTCCTGAACAACCAACTACTCCGGAACATTACTTCGTAAAAGAAAAAGCCATTACTAACCCATTTGTTTGATTGCGCTCTCACCTTCTCCAGCGGTCATCGTTTACTCGCTCTTCTTTAAGTCTGATAGCCCAACCTGGATTATCCCCATAAAGGTATATTCCGCACCACTTGAAGAGCTCGGATTCATTAGAGGTATGCGAGATAGAGGAGCACTAGTATAGAGCACAATAGACGTAGTTGTTTATGCAATCCATTATATTATTATTAGGCTAACGGAGGAAGGTAAGAACTAAGCTGCAGAGTGGAGTATATATTATGGTCCAGATTATACCTAGTAATCAGAGAGAGAGGTCTACTTGTGGTTGGTTCTAATTGGGCTTAGCGTATATTATATCCTGCACCTCGCAACAAGATTTGATAATTACAGGGCTTCTGGGAGGCCTGAACTCACTTTAAGATTATTTTATTTTATGATTTATACTAGGGTAAAAAGCCAGTTCAACCTATAGGACTCTATCTATTCATGCTAAGTAGTGGGTTTATAGTAGGGCTATTAGACTTCTAAAAAATGCAAGTATCTCTCTCTATTTGACTCCAATGACCAAATAGAGTATGTTAGAGCAGGTGGGCAGGTAATGAAATAGCCGGCGCCTCAAGCTTTAAGTAAGGCCGCGGAGCAGTAGGAGAGAGTAACTTATAGAGGGGGTAATCCTCGTAGCTATAAAAAATGACTAATCTTTTTGATTCGGTACGTATCCCTAATAAGGATGAAAGTAGATTCTTATTTTGCTATTTTGGAGAGCTTGTTAGTTAAAAGAAGGCCCTGCATTAAGGTAACTAGTCTAGTGTTTACGGATATGTTTTACAGTACTCGTATATGAATTACCCTGCCATCAGTCCAGTGATAAAGGGATGAATAGCTGCATTTCACTTCATAGCCTCTAACTCTCCGCGTGTGCGGTTGAATCAATGACACTTTCAAATGAAAGTCTTACAGTATATATTTCTACTCTCAACGAGACAGAAGTAAAGTATAACAAAAAACCACTTCTATCAAGATTCGTACGACAAGAAAGAAACACACGCCCTAAACAATTCCAAGACACACCTAACCCTACAACCATCATAACTGTAAGTATCTCAGTCGCAGAATTCTCTCTTATTGCCCTATCAAGGGCGTCAAGTTGTATCGTGGAAGGGCTTTTGGATCGTTACCAGAAAAGGTAATCAACAAATGCAAGTATCTCTTTTTATGAACAAGGCTCGTGCCATCCTTATGAGTTCCTTGTATGTTATAGTTGAAAATACCCGATGTATCGGTCTAAGTAGGGTCGAATTTCGATGCTACACTGCAGATCAGTCCGCTCCAATCCTTGTCGAGGTTTCCCGTTTCTAGGAAGTTTAACAGGATGGGGGATTTATCATTATCGCCAGTCGAATCGAAGAATCCGAGGTTCGCTGGCGCTCTTGTATTAAGGCTTCTTTCATTTATTTTTGCTCCCTCCTGCTCACCCGGAATAATAAGAGGAGAGATCTGATCTCTCTTTGAAATTATCTTATTGAGCCTTGGAGCTGGGCCAGGATCCACTCAAGGAAGATCACGTTTTGATAGAGTATATTTGCAAGCCTTAATATCAGCAGTAGCAATGAGGCTCTTATTCTAGGTGAAACTGTGATCGTTGTCATATAGGCAATCTGCCAGTCCATATGGGCTGGCAAGTGGGTGGGCAAAGGAGAGCCCAGTCGTGATGCAGAGCAGAAGGAAAGTGTATGTAAAAGTCGGTGCAGGCATGTTGTTGCAAGGTTTGCGACAAGAAAGACTCTAAAGCTCTCAATAATCAGACGAAATGATGATTGGCTCGGGTTTTGATTTAGAAAGTTGTAGTGATGTGATGATTTTCTTTGTAGAAAAACATCTGGTCGAGCAAACTTCACTTTACCTATGGATGACGGTCTTTATATACCCAGAAGCATAGTAGAGACCACAGTCCCTAGATCCTTCCAGACAGATTAGCAATTGTGATAAATGGAATGATGAATGGAATGAGCAGATTGCTAACCTCTCATCTACAATTTCCTCTTTGGTTTACGTTGTTGGTGAATAGCTGCGACTGAGTTGGAGGTAGTGTGGTGTCTCCTAACTGATAATGAGTTTGGTATATCCGCCTAGAAATCCCATAAAGACTTCATTCTCACCAAATTGACGTATGTATCCCACCAGGTTTTGATTCCTCTCTCATAATGTCCCACTTGACTGCAATTTTCGCCAAGTTCCGAGTTATATGAGGATATAATCCTGGTAGCAGGAGCCGCCTGCCTGTACACTAGATGGGTCTTGCGGAGAAATCTGATACAATGCAGTTGGTGTTGAGGCTGGTTTACGGCTGCAACGAGACTGCGGGTGGAGTCATTAGTCAGTACGGCCGCTCCCGTGTCAAAACAAAGGATTGGCCCATGCAACATCAATTCGTATCGCTTGTTTGGCTTGGTTTAGGGAGATGTGGGATAATGCTCATTGAAGATAGACAATTAGAGAGAATTCGCAGCCATTAGAACTAACATCCCAAACGCATCAGCGCTCACCATCCATGAATTCAGGTCATTCATCTTATCCCCTCCATGTCCCCTCCCAAGCGCCATTAAATCCGCATACCTCAAATAACACCTCCCATCTCTCGTGCTCAGCATCTTGTTATATTTTTCTATCCATTCACCTTCCGTCGCCGCCTCCCAAAGATGTTTGTGGGCAGGAAGCGGTAGAACGGAGAGCCCGACTTTAGATTTGGCCCGTTGTTCAGGTTTGATGTCGAACAGAAGGTGCAGTATGAAGAGTACCGTCACGGTCCTTCGTTTCGACTCCACCAACACCCACTCTTTCCATTCCGGACGGCGGCCTTCGATCTCAGCACTGCAGACTAATCTGCACTGTTCAGCTTGGATCGCAATTTCCTAGCAGGAAGAACCGTTAGCTCGTTGATAAGTGGAGGAAATCAAAGTCTCACCGTCATCGCTCTAGTAAGCTCGCGGTCGAATTCAGCGGAGAATGAGTCCTCGTCAAAGATCCTGAGGAGGATATACAAAGTGACTGCCTGAAGCATGGACAGTACAGTCCACTCATCTCCGTTCATGTATTCGTTCATAAAGCGGTCCTTTTCCATGGTTATAGTGCGCCAGACGAAAGAGCTTGTTGCAGGTGTCTTGGTGGTGTAGAGTGAGACGATCGATTTGCAAATTTCTAGTGTCGGTAGGGGAGGTGAGGTTGCGCAAGTCGGAGTTTGACACGAGCTAGGGTCTGGGGATGGAAGCGACGTGCCGTGGATGAATGGCGGCAGGTTCTTCGTTGCAAGGGCCGTGGCGTACGATTTGAAGTTCTGCAAAAGGAACGTGCGGCCGATTTGTGAGCCCGTTGAGAGATATGCGTGATTGAATGGACTTCTGGGCGAGGTGGGGGATAGATCACGGTCCATGGGTCGAAGGACTAGGTAGGGGGTATGAAACATGCAGTTTGCGGGAGTTGAGAATGTCGCGTCGAGGGTTAAGCTTGGTGTTGGACCAGAGATGAACCAGTTGATCGGGGATCCATTGATTGAATAGCCATTGGACGAAATATTAGCACCCATGTCAGAAACTTCCAAGTCTTCCACAAATCTAGTATCCGGTTCCCAGAGAGCGAGGTCGTTCTGAGGCGTTAGGTTGGGCACAGGAGCAAGCCAAAGACTAGGAACATCCATATCTAAGCTGATCTGAGCATCATTGCCGTTGTCCGCATGGGCATTCCAAGGGATATCGTTTTGATTGCCCGGTTCCGGGATATCAACAAGCAATGTACCATCGGAGCTTGGTTCATCAGGCGGAGCAAATGCAGGTTGCTGGGCTGAGGTCGCACTCTTCCTAGTCAATTCATAAACACAAGTAAGCCCCCTATCATCGCATCGACTACAATTTGGGAGTTCCGAGTCGCATTTTGCTTTGGCTTTCCGACAAGCTGCACATGATTTCCTCAAGACCGGGAGACTGTCCACCAACTTCTTCCTACAGTACAGTACGTGTCGATTCCTCGAGGTTCCTAGCACGACAGTTGAGCAAATGGCTAATGGGATTATGTTTGAGAGTAAAAGGAATCGAACCATACGTTTTGTGAACGCTTTGGAGCAGATCTTGCAGAGGAACGGCCCGGTATCATTGTCGATATGCCGGCAGGAGGATGTTCCACTGGTCCTCGGCTCTATATTCATGGACGTCTGCTGTGACCTTCGGATGTAATGGCTGATAGCAAGGCCAAGGCGGAGCAGATCAATCTTCTAAGTTGCTGCGCTTTCATGCCATTCGGAATATTTTGGGTGGAGAGAAGTCGATGTTGAGGTGGGAAGCCAAGGAGGCTCTTGCCGCTTCGGGTCAGGCTGTTTAGCGCGCTGCGGATCACAACTCCACACCTCAACCTCACTCCGCCTTCTCTTCTTATAACAAGATCACAAATCTTTCAAGACGACCCCCATCGCTGCTCAGCTTTCTGGCTTCGAGAGATCTGGTAGTTGCTCGATTGAATCATCCAGAATACTAGGGGCTCTGACGTACTAAGCAGGGCTAAGCTTTCGTCTCGTCGATGCCTTTATCTCTGATCATCCATGCTAGTGTTTTGTCGATTTTCCGGGCTGTACAATATTTTCCGCTGCCATAATTGCCAAGTAGCACAACACCTAATGCAATTGAATTTTCATTGCATCCTTCTTGTTCATGTCCGGAGACTCTTGTCGCCTTGAAATGCCATCGCAAGTGTATAAGATGGCATGCAATTCCCCTTTCTCCTGTTCCCTTCATCATATTCGAGATCCCAACACTCCCATCTCCTTCCATTTCATCTCAACTTCTTTCAAAGAAAATTTCTAAGTCTCTTCTGAGCATCTCGAAATATAATGGCAGGAGATCTAATTCTCGTGAGAAACCACAGGCTCCACAGGTTCCACAGCCGTTTTCACTAACGACAACTACTTACACCTTCATAGATTACGGGCGTTTCTGGCTATATCGGATTCAAGACTCTGATCCTAGCTCTTGAAGCGGGGTTTCCAGTACGTGCGGTCATCCGCAAGGTCGAACAGGCCACAAAACTCCAGTCTCACGCTCGAGTCGCACCCCACATGGACAACCTACAATGGGTTGTTATTCACAATCTCTCAGACACCCACTCCTTCGATCCTCACCTCGCTGGTGTCACGGGAATTCTCCATATCGCCTCCCCTATTGCCATCGAGGTATTACTCATCTCCGTGCCTGATCGTCACAAAGTTAATCCTTCTTAGTCGGACGACTATGACCGCGACATTATCGACCCAGCCTTAAAAGTGACCCTCTCTATCCTCAACGCCGCGCACCGCACTCCCTCAATCAAGCGTGTCATCATCACCTCCTCTGCCGTAACCCTGATCTCCTTCGCCTGGATGTTTGGTCCCGCGCCTGCGTCCCCAGACCTCACACTATTTACCGCAGCCGACATCAACTCCAACATTGCCGGTCCCTATGGCACGTCAATGGAAGCATACTTCGCATCCAAGACCCTATCCCGCATTGCCACAAGAAAATTCATGGAGGAGGAGAAGCCAGAATTTGAGTTCGTCAACTTGCTGCCAACAGTAGTATTCGGGCCAGATGAACTGGCTACAAATGCCGCTGAGTTGGTGACGGCCGGGAACTCTCTCGCACTTGGTCCGCTCCTGGATGTCAATATTCCGCAGATGGTGGGGGCTGCAGTGCACGTTGATGATGCGGCTAGGGCGCATATCGATGCGTTGAAGCCGAGTGTGCAAGGGAACAAAGACTATATTTTGAGTTCTGATGCGCCGGATGGTATTGATTGGGAAGATACGCAGAACTATGTTAGGAAGTTCTTTCCAGAAGCTGTGGAGAACGGGACATTGAAATTGGGGGGAAGCCTGAGGGCGAGGATCTGGAGGTTGGATACTCGGGAGACGGAGAAAGAGTTTGGGTGGAAGTTCGTATCATTCGAGGAGACGTTGAAAGAGCTTGTGGGGCAATATCTGAAGTTTGTAGCGGCGGAGAAGAAATGAGATTGTGGTACGGTTTGATTTAGCTAGATACCTTGAATCACAATCTTGCAATTGTGTGCGAACTTTAGAAAACCACTCTGATGTGTTAACAATAGCTGTAATCATTGGACTGCTCACCATGCTGTTGCGTCTAGTGTTTAGCGATTTCCTTCGAATGCCCACTAGCCACACCTCCACCTACTGTCGGCTCCAACGCCGCTCTACCATCTCTATCTCCTTGCAGCCATATGCGTATCGGTATGTGGGAGAACCGTGTCGTTACGTTGATAAATCCCGTGTCGCGTACCGCATCAGCCAGCTGTGGGATTGATATCCGATAGGCTGGACATATAGAGCTATGTAACTGTCAGTCTGTTGAACGACGAGCTCTCATTTTCATGTCTCTTCTCGAACGCGGTAATACGAATCTGATTTGCCGAGCATGGAGGTGAGAACTCCCCTCCTCCATGCCGCAGTACGCCATCACAGCCAGGATCGACATGGCAGGCAGAAGTCATCGCTTCGTGGAGTGTGCTATTGGTCAAGTTTGGCGTAACACAACGCCAGCAACATGGCATTACACAATTGGACAAGGCCGGAGCCTGACTACTGTCGGGCTGATCCAGCTTCCATCAAGTCATCCCTCTTTAATCAATACAGTACTGTACCTTCAGCTCTACTCAATCGCAATATTGGTTATCTCTCGTGAGTGAGCCACTGCAGAATGTCTGACTTAAAGGACCAGATGATCGAAGAAGCCCAAGAACAGAGGGAAAAGACTGAATATGTACTGGACGACATTGAATCGTGCGGTGAACGGTTTAAATGGTTTGTCTTGCCAACAAGAGTCAATAATGACTGAGGCTAATATACCATAGTCCGAGCGAGTTCTGCACCGAGTCTTACTGCACAAAACAATGTTTTGCCAGAGGCCATTTTGATTGGTGTATTGAGCATTCAGCGCCTTCCTCGGAAGATATCCACGGCACCTATCGTATCACGGATGTCACAATTACAAAGATCGACGGGCACATAACTGAGAGACGTGATGTTATCGAGAAGCGAAAGTGCTCTCTTGGTGAAGAACAAGAGGGCGAGGATCCAGGGTGCGATCTCGTTCAGTCTGGTCAGTGCCCTGCCTACCTGAACTCCTAGTCCCTTCAGGCTTATTGTGTTAGATTTCATGGGTGATGATGGACTTCACGAGTTTGAAATGGACCGCTGGTTTGCCAAGCAGATGGGGAAAGAATCACCATAGCAGTTTTGAAGCGCAAAATTGAGAGCAGTGATCAGAGCGCGTTGCCAGCGTTCGATATACTTGGCTGTCCAGTCCTATGTCATCATCAGTATGTCGCTAGAAACGGTCATCTTTGCAAGCCACAACTTGCCAATGAGAAATTTCCAAGCCACGATACTAATGAAACCAATGCCCTGTCGATGGTTGTACAGATGGTGTGGCGGCAATATTAGGTGGAATAAAGTTATTAAAATAAATACTTACTCGCACTTTGATTAGCAGCTTAGACTATGAAAATGACTCGGCTTTAGCTTTTTTTTAAGTTTCTAATATATATAGACGATGTGTTCAATCCTCTCGTTGGATATTTATAAGCTTTCCCCAAATTGTGGAGATGCCACGAATTAGTACACGCCATGTGTCTTGTTGTGAAGTAATCACAGGGGGTTAAATCCTTCAGTTCCAACAACAGCTTTACCAAGGCTCAATTTACTTCTATTCTGGTCTCTTTACCTGCTCTACAGAGGCTCATTCATAGTGTCACTAGCCATCAGCAGCTTCACCTGTGCCCAAGTTTCGAACAAATTATACGTACAAAAACAAGGAGTTCAGATGAATAGTCCTGAAAATAAACACTAGATTTTGATTGGACTGGAGACAAAGTTTGATGCTGCTATTATCTAATTCAATCTCCCATAAAGTCTACTCAGTATCCTCAATTCGAAATTCGTTATAGCATACTATCGCTTCATTTGCATTGCAAGCTTCACTTTCAAGAACATCATCTGCCAATACATCCTACTCTTGCCAACTACTCTCCCAGAAGCGTTTCTATCTTATCCTCAGCCGATCAAAACTACTCACACAACTACTACATTTCAACATGCAACTCAATATTTTGCGGAAGGCCCTCTTGAGCACATTGCTTGCTTCGTCACTCATTGAAGCGGCTCGACCGCTTTGTTCCTCCACGAACTGCGTCAATATCAAGAGAGATGTCGCCTCTAGGATCCGTAGAGATGTCAGCAAATTCGAACCCGGGATACTCAATTCCCGGACCCTGGAGGTAGTGGGTGATGATGCTGCCATGCCTCGTCGCTTAGTCATTGATGCTAAGGTCATGCGATCGTGACCGTGTAAATCCCGACAAGTTCGGTACAGCGCGAACTCATGTTATCATATATATTCTTCTATTCCTGAGTAACCTGATCTATATATGTTTGACTACGATATAAAAAGGAAAGGGGTGTATACTAATATAAAACCAGTTATATTTCGGCCCTCCATCATGTGATATTTGTAATAGCTTTTTTAAGTGCTCACCTGGGGAAGGTCTTACGCCGTAAAGCCGTACCAACGTACTGAATGTTGGTGACCACCTGTACTTTCCTTTCCCTATAAAATCTTTCTCCTCTGCAGTTCGAACCGTGGTTCTTATAATGTGACCGAAAAAAGGCACTCACATCATGCCAAATTCCGACCTGTCCGAAGATCTACCACCTCCTGCTGTCGCCGAGCGAACTCTTGGGGAGGCATGCGATTCTGGGGATCTCGCCCTTGTACAATCCGTGCTCGCTCAATGCCAAAATGACCCTAGTATCGACGAACAGGTCAGGCCTCGCCCTAACTTCCTATGTGTGGAATGCAGCTTCAGGTGGCCACGCCGATATTGTCAGCTACTTGTTGGACAACGGAGCGGAAATCGGGGCTTCGCCTTTGGCTACTACTCGGCGAAAAGATACGGACAAGGCCATCCGTGCATTTGATGTGCTTTTTGACCATGGGTTAGATCTCAAAACCTATCGAGACGGTTCAGAGCTCATCCAGTATGATTCATCATTCTTCATGCCTTTAACATTTGTTGTTTCACGTACTAACGTAAAATAGCAGGGTGGTAAACAATGAAGCCTTCGTCAAGTATCTACTTCTCAAAGGAGCCGATCCTAATGGGTTGGAACATTGGGAGCGCACTCCATTGGATTGTTTCTGTGATAACCCTGCCTCCATCATGACTCTGATTGATCATGGTGCAAACATCGCAACCGGCAAACCGCTTCACCAGGCAGCAGTTATTGTTAACGACAAAGATTGCATAGAGAGGATGAAGCTTCTAGTTGAGCATGGTGTGGATGTCAACGTTCGTGCTGCATATGCAGGTGACGCTCCTCATGACTGTGCCGAATATAAAGACGGGATGAGGCGCACTGGAAAGGAGGAACGGCACTCCACTGGGCCGTGCGTGGCTGGGCCCGGGCTCTCAAAGTATCCAAAGTCAACTTGCTTCCCCGAGTCAAATGGCTGTTAGACCATGGCGCGGATAGGACGATCAAAGACAATGCTGGGCTTACACCTCTCGACTATGCCTCTAGCCCAGAAATGGTTTCTCTCCTCAACAGTTGGAGGTATCTGCGTAATGTTCCTATTAGTATTCAAATGCGTTAATATTGAATAGTCAAAATCGTTAATCAAAGCAAGGTTTCATAAACTATTTATAGTCTGGGGTAATTTATGGGATGCATCTTATAGGATCTACCTGGGACCTTAATCTGGTAAGATGATAGTAATATGGTTTCTTATATTTAATAAAATTGACCTATAGTTACGTCTCAAAAACAAAAGTCGACCGAATTTATCATAGTTTACTTATTAGAAATAAAAATGCAAAGAGATGTGAGGCGTAGGAGCAATCCCGAGACAGCCTAGCCTAGCGTATAATTAGCTAAATGATGGTTGAAAATCCGCTGTTAAATTTTCAGTAAGTTAATTAAATACAAAGAACCATACTATAGCCAGACGAAGGTCACTATAACATGATGTAATACCTTAAAAACGGGTTTTACTATCATTATACCGGAAAAAGGTCCCAGCAAAATCCCATAAGTTAGTCAGTTATATTAAGTAGCCCGTGCGTAGCGCGAGGATATAACAACTATCTAGGTAGATAAGACCTCGACTTTTCGACACTATCTGACTTCACACCTTCCACGTACGCTACCTACTTGAAAATATGGCATACATCCCACCCATCGATAATACAGAGACACAGCATGAGGGTATGGTTCATTTAACCATTCGAAATACATTTTTCCGCCGGTATTTAACTCTTCTCGCGCTCAAGACCACCGCCCGTTTCTTCCAATATTACGATGGCCCATGCGTCCGCATCTCCAAAAACCTTGTCGTCAAGACCGGCTCCTTCGTTCACCTCACCGAAGCGGCGACTATGGAGTTCGTCGCTGCCAATACTTCGATTCCAGTACCTCACGTGTACTCTTCTTTTGTGCATCGAAATCGCGCTTACATTGTCATGGAGCGCATTTCAGGTGAACCCTTCACAAAAGCCTGGAAGACACTGTCTGATGTAGAGCGAGAGAGCATCTTTGCGCAACTTCGCCGTATGATCTTGGAATTTAGGACACTTGTACCACCTCCTGGCACGGGGGTAGAGAGCTGCGTCGGTGGCTCATTGCGAGATTCCCGCATTCCGCATGCTAGGCCCAGATTTGGACCTTTCAAGACAATTCAGGACTTTCACTTCTGGCTTCGTGATGGGCTCCAGCCAAAGGAGCATCCAGAGGTCAAGAATGTGCATATAACTGACCAAGACTGGAAGGACCTTAGAGAAATGGCCGCCAAATAAGATGGGACGTGGTCGGAACTTGCTTTTACTCATGGAGACCTGAATCCCTTCAACATTATGATCCGTGGTAACCAGGTCGCCGGTATCATCGACTGGGAGTATACTTCTGCGTGGTACGGGAACATTATTCGAGACACATGGCAGGGTTTGATTACCAAGTTTCTTGATTCATATCCCGAAGAGTTGAAAATGGAAATCACGCGCCAGAGGTGGTGGGGAGACATCTGATAACAAAAGCACATCGATCAGTGGGGCCCTGTTCTACGGATAGTCTTCTGACTATGTGCTGCATTGCACGGCTGAAAAATACAGATACATCGACATGTCTTCAAGCCGACGCACAACATCCTTCTTATTTTCAAGCACATTCCAGGCACAACTCCAAACCTTTAAAATACTAGGAGATTAGGATGAACTTTGACCACTGAGTCTTCACTGCTATACCTAGGTACATCAACTGTCTTAACGAGACAAATATAGTCGTGTGTTAAGGTCTGCTAAGGTGCAAGTATGTTTGACACTGGAATAGGGGCTTGAAAGGAGGTATCTCGCTTAGTGATAACAAACGATGCTTCTTTCCTCCAATAGTGGGACAACCAACATAAGCACATAGGTATTCCAAGTTCCCCAAGAGCACATATTCATAGTAGCCCAGTAATGTCTCACGAGATATGAAGCAATTGAGACCATCTGAATCGCAAAACTTCTCTAAATATATATTATTGGTGTTGCTTCCAGACTTGGCTTAGCGCCACTTGGAAGCGGGCGCGATGTTGAGTTTTCTCGACTCATAACATACCAGACTCAAAGACAACCCAATTGACACCCACTCTCTTGCCCATTCCTACTCCCAGTGCTTTTATTGCGTACTAACCGTACCGCAAATTGCCTTCGTTTAAGTGAAAGCTTGCAAAGACCATAGTTAGCTTCCATAGCTGGTCTACCGCCGACGCTACTCCAACCAACTGCATGCTTTGTTGATAGGTTCCCATCACCGGCCACAAGATGCTCTTGATAAGAACCCCTCATCCGAGGGCTGCACGGACTTTCTTCCTCGCAGTAAACGCCATATCCTCATCCCGCCCCCAATGCTCGCGCTTTTCCTCACAGCAGAAGCAAACACCAAGATACCGGGCCGTAGTTATAGGTGCCGGTCCCGGCGGCATATGTGCAGTCGGGAACTTACTTGAGCAAAAGAAGAGCCCAATTCTCTGGGTGGATCATCTATTTCAGGGCGGGAGGTTGAATCAGTATTATAGAGAAGTACCAAGGTAAGAATGAGACGCTTTTAATTTTGATGGGCGACACGTGATCTGACGAGAAGTAGTAACACAAAGGTGAAGCGGTTTATAGACTATGCAGAGGGTGTGCAGCCGTTCAGAGACGTGGTGAAAGAGGCAGAGAAACCGAATGCGTATACGCATCTAAAGGGCTTGGATCAAGAGGATACGTGCCATATTGCTCAAGCAGCGGACTTGTGTATCATGTTGACGAAAGGGTTGGGTTTAGAACGAGGGGTGGCAAAGCAGGTTGGGAATGTATCTAAGGCGTCGTGGTCAGAGGTAAGCTGTTTGGACTCTGTCCCAATGCACGTTTCACACGCTAATGCCAATCAGGCAAACAACTGGACCGTCGAGATAAACCCTGACCAGACGAGCTCTGGTCCAATTTCCATCTCTTCCGATCTCTTGATCCTCTGCAACGGCGCCGCTCCCACAACTGGTCCGCTGCCAGTCAAGAATATCCAAGAAATCGGCCTCGACCCCGCTCTTAAACCATCTCTCATCGCTGAAATCCTTCCGGCAGACAAGGACCTAACCGTAGGTGTAATCGGCGCATCTCATAGCGCCATTCTCGTTCTCCGGAATCTCTACGACCTCGCCAGCACTTCTCATCCCAAACTACGTATAAAATGGTTCACGCGCCATCCGTTGCGATATGCGGAGGAGAAAGACGGGTGGATTTTAAGAGACAATACCGGTCTAAAAGGCGCAGTAGCTACCTGGGCAAAAGAGAATCTCGAGGAAGACGTATTACCATCTTCAGACGTGAGTCGGTTCCTGGAAAAGGTATCCACGACGAAAGAAAAAGAGCAGGAAACCTATCTTGCGCATCTACCATCTTGCACGCATGTTGTGCAGGCTATTGGTTTCAGGCATAACGAGTTGCCGGTGCTAGAACGCGAGGGGGGGAAGTTGGAGCTTGTGTATGATCATGAGACTGGGGGCTTTGGGGATAAGGAGGGTAAGAGGGTTAGGGGCTTGTATGGAGCTGGGATTGCGTGGCCTGAAAGGGTGACGGATCCTGAGGGAAATGTGGAGATGGCGGTGGGGTTGGCCAAATTTATGAAGTATTTGAAGAAGATTGTTCCGGAGTGGAGAGCATAGATGGATGAGCGCATGGGAAGAAGATAAGATACGACGATAGAAAGAAAGGTTACTCGGAATGATGGTGTTCATGATTGTAGATAGATTCTGGAGTTAAGAGGTTAAATAAAAGCCCGTATGAGGTCTAGAAGCATTTTAAACATTCGAAAATTTGGGTATCTAGGGTCTTCAGGACCAAATTTGTACATGTATCTTATGAAACAACTCCTCTTCATTCGCTATGTCACGACAGCCAACTCACTGTATCGAAAGCATGATCTGACCTGATCAATCCTACCATAGCCCCCACAACCTCGGTACAAGCCAAGAGATAACCGATAGGGCAGTAATCGTGAAAGGAGGCAGAAGAAATCCAATCCCGTTCTCGTTCAGCGTTCGACTTTGCGAGGCCAAAAAGTACGCCGCGTCCGATGTCGCGATGGCCATAACCATCAAGAATGACGACACATCGTGTGTACTCTTCCGTTCACTTTCAGCCATGCCATCAATAATTCCATCAAGTCGCTCTGCCATCCTCACATTAGAAAACTCTCTCTCCACTCTTCCTTTGCCTGCTCTGCCAATGGCTTCCAACTCCTTCTTGGACATTTTGTGCAGCACCTTATCCATGACTGCAGTCCAGCCCTCCGTATCTTCAGGCGAGCAATGCCAGCCTGTTTTGCCGTCCACAACGGTCTCGAGAGGCCCGCCTGTATTTGCTGCTAGAACTGGAACGCCCACCAGCATGGCCTCCAGGGGTACAATGCCAAAGTGCTCGTTAGAGGGAGTATATATAAGGAGACATGCCGATTTGAGAAGCATGTCTTTCAGTGTGTTTGGTACTGATTGTAAAAACAGAACATCCACATCGTGGGAGATATTCAAAGCTGTCACGATATTTCCCGCCGTGACAGTCTTGAGGCCGAATGATTCGGCTAGAGTTACGAGCTCCGTGTGATATAGCACGTTTTCTTGCACCCGGTTATCGTATCCGCCTAAGGTGCATCAGCATAATCCCCGAAATACCGGTAATGTGACAAACCTGCGAGTACAAGCCTCACGCCTTTCCGCCCGTGTTTCCCAAGCCCTGCGTACGCTTTAATAGCTAGGCCAATATCCTTCTTCCTTTCAAATCGATTTATGCTCAACAAGACTTTCTTGTCTTTCCAAGCAGCAACAATGCCTTCACTCTCTTCAAAGGTCTTTTCTTTAACATCCACACAAGGATATACAATCTTTAGATCCTTCGACTCAGCAAGACCCGGCCAGACCTTCCCCACCATGGCCTTTGTGAAACCCGAATTTACCGCCACCGAGTCCGCAAAACTCATACTCCATTGCTCGAGAGCATCGAACGGTATCCGATAGACGCGCTTCAACAAAGAAGACCGGCCTTGGGCGAGTAAGAGATCGGGAAAATGGCAGTAAAATAATATGCGGGTACCAGGATACAGATATGCTAGCCATGGCAGACCAGCACTTAGCTGGTCTACTACAAAAGCATCCGGTTGTAATGCGCTGAGCTCGGATGTGAAGTATGTCCAAAAGATGAGATGTAATTGTCGTAGAATGGCGCATATGATGGAGAATCGAGATAGGATGGAAGGGGGCACTAGCCAGTTGCCGCGCACGCGTACATCAAGAGTTCCTATTGGGAATGCGTTAAAAAGAGATATTTTGACAAGAGGGATAACTACAGCATACCATCCCGAGCTTCATCGAAGCAGTGTTTTGGGTCGCAATGGCTTGTGAACATAACAACTTTATGGCCACGATTCTGAAGTCCTACTGCAGCATCGATGATCAATCTTTCTGCCCCTCCAATCCCAAGATCGGGATGGAAGAATAAGATGGTCTTGGTCTCCTCTGCCGCCGCCATGTTGCAACTTCAAATTTGAAGTGGGATGTTTGATATTGACAGATCTCGCGAAAAGATACGCAGTCTTGCTCTTAATCTAGAGCCTCGCGCTAAAATGACCCCTGTCCTACCTAGCTTTCCCCAGCCTTGCAAAAAGGGCGATGTTGCCGTCAATTCCACCAGAACCGTTTAGTTTTCACATAGAATGGGCTTAAAATGTCCCGAATGCAAGAGAAACTGCTTAATACACAAAGAGAGAAGTATCTGACGTGAAAAAGAATCTCTATGGCTCACACCTGGACATGCCGAGGTTCAATGGATTACTATTCTGAATAGCACATGGAAGAGCTACGTAGTGAACCTCTATGCTCAACAACCCATCCAACCTCCCATCTCTAATTCTCCCATTGACATATTTCACAATCACTAAAATGGCAACTAAGACTCTTTTTGAACTCCCAATTCTCTCCTCGCCCACGGCCACCAGCGCCAGCGGCACCGTAATCGTCACCACCTCAACTCCAGGAATCTACCTCCTAACCTTCACTTCACCTCCCGACAACCGGCTCCTAACGTCCTTCTGCCAGACCCTTCTCCTAGCCCTCGACATAATTGAGCACGAATACCCACCCGGTGTTCTGATAACCACATCTGGGGTCCAGAAGTTCTACAGCAATGGTTTAGACCTCGAGCATGCCACCTCAACCAAGGGATTCTTCCACAACAGTCTATTCGCTCTTTTTAGACGGCTGTTGACGTGCGTTGCATTATCATTTTTTGAGAACTCACAAACTAATGATCTTTTGTAGATATCCTATGCCGACGATAGCGCTAGTCAATGGACATGCATTTGCAGGGGGCTTCATGTTAGCCATGTACCACGATTACAGAATCTTCAACCCTTCCCGCGGTTTCCTCTGCCTCAACGAGCTAGATCTCGGAGTACCCCTGCGCCCAGCCATGTCTTCCATTTTCAGGCAGAAACTGACGCCTAGCGTCTACAAACCCATGGTGCTAGAAGCGAAACGCTTCTCGGCCAAGGAAGCGCTAGAAGGTGGTATTGTGGATGCGCTAGGGGGTTTAGAGGACGCAGTGAAGTTTGTGGGGCAGAGGGGTTTGGTGGAGAAGGGGAAGACGGGTGTTTATGGTGTGTTGAAGAAAGAGATGTATCGGGAGACGCTGGGGTATTTGGAGGAGAGTGTAGAGGAGGATAACAAGATGGATAGGGAGGCAGAAAAGGAGGATGAGAGGGGCGAGGAGGCAAAGGGGAGGGTAAACGAGTGGAAAAGAAATACGAATGGTGCTGCTAAGTTGTAGATGAGGAACATATGGAAGATTTTGAGGACTCATAATTGGCGGCTCTTTGTGGAGAAGGCCGCAAGACACTGTATGAGTTAAGAGTGATCACGTAGTAAAAGCCAGCCGACTATTGCGACTGTTGAGAAGTTGTCTTCACTCCGATCAGAATAGGACAAGAAATTCCAATCAAGAGAACTCATTCATTCCATTCCAGTCAATATTGATGCTTGGTGATGTACATAACAAAACGCCTTTCCCCAATACCCCGGTCCGCCAACACCACGCTGGCTTTTATACAATCATTAAATACCGACATCCCATGCCCGTCATAAACACACATCCAAACGCCCAATATTCATTCAAGCAAAGCTATCCTCAGCAGGCCACGTCTCCTCTCGAACCGGTTCCTCCACGGGCTCCGGCTCCTCATCCGGCTCCTTCAAAGTGCTGCTTCCTTCACTGGAGACACCAAGCGCTGCCTGATTTCCATCCAACATCAAAACTCCTGACTGAACCAGGGTATTCCAAGTCCCATCTCTCAAATCCATTGTTGACTTGTTGACATCCAAACCATCCAGTATTTTCAGCCGAGTACAGCCACCTAATACTAAAATCTGGTATACTCTCCTCGTCATCTTTGTCTCCAAGTCTAGACACTTTACATATTTCGCGTCTCTCTCACTATCCACATTTCCAATGGTGAAAGGCTCTAAGACCTCTCCACCGTCAACAGCTTTGCGTACAGCCAGAGCAGTGTTCAACGGAGCTGGATAGAAGCCCAGTGTCAATTGATTGCTCCGAAGATCAACGGTCGACAGGAAAGAGAACTGCGACAGCATACTTGTCACCTTCCTCAGGCTTGCTAGTCGATTGCCCGCCAGGTAAAGCCTCTTCAAACGCCGAATTCCATGGAGCGGTTTAAGGTCTTTGAGCGCGTTGAAATTCAGATTCAAGACTCGAGCGTTCGGGAACAGTTGACCGAAATTAGAAGGAAGAGACTTCAGTCCGCAATTGGCGAGCTCCAAGTACTGCAAGTTGAGAAAGACGGCACTGGGATCGAAGATAGGGAGAAGATTTCCAGATAGGAAGAGCTTGCGGAGTTCGAACGCTTGAGACAAAAACGCCATGTCGATTATTGCACCATCCTGCTGTTCTCGCATCGATAAACTGTCAAGATGCTTCGTTTTGAGGATACCGCTTACAGTACCCAGGCGATTGCGATCGAGATACAGCAGACGGAGACAGGGAAATGGGCTGACATCAATAGAAGTCAGGTTATTCCCAGCTAAGCGGAGGTAATTCAAATTCCAGAGCAGCTTGGCGCTATTTGGCGAGAAGCTAGAAATTTGGTTGTCTTCCAGGTTTAGGTTCGACAATGACGAGAGTTCGCCGATATTTTGGACGTCTTTGATATTATTGTTTTTAAGATCAAGGGCTGTCAATCTCTGAAGCCTAGTACCGCTAAAGTCGATGGACTCGAGCATATTGCCCCTCAAACGCAGACTCAATAATCCATCAAGTTGCCCAATGCCATCTAAGGACGTGATTTTGTTGTTATCCGCACGCAAGCCTCTCAAGTGCACCAAACACTTCAATCCTGAGAGAGACTCAATCTCGTTGTTTGAAATATCGATGTACTGTAAATTGCTGAGATGGTTCCATGCTGTCAGGTTTGTGAGACAATTGTGCGTCATTCGTAAGTGTCGAACGGATGATGGAGCACCATTAAGCTGGCTTATCTGGTTATGAGACACATCGAGGTCCTCGATCTTCCCACAAAATTCATCTAGCTTGTGGAGAGTCGTGAGCCTCTTTTCCCGCAACTCTATCTGCTTCAAGTCCTCCCAGTATGGTTCGTACGGTTCAACCTCCGTAATCCTTTCCACAAGCGCCTTGATCGACAAGGACAAAGTTCTCTGTTGACCCTCACCAAGGGTATATCTCTGTCTCGCAGCAACGTAACTAACATCCAAACCAAAAGATTTGTCCTCATGGTGTATGGTGAAATCGGAAAGCGGAGTAAGGCTGAGATTTCCTATCTCATGCAACAGTCTAGGCGTAGCATAAACCATGCTTACTTCCCGCTTCGGCGCCGGTGTCGTTACAATAACGCTGACGCTTCGTTGATGCATCTCATCATTTTGTTCGTCAGAATACTCTTCGTCCCGTTCATCAATGCGTGATACCGGTCTTCCCGAAAACGTTTGACGGCCAATAGAAATTCCACGAGACGCTTTTCTGACCGAGGAACGAGTGCTAGTTGCGGTTTCCCTGTGACTGCTGCTTCTCTTTTTGATAATGATGCTGTCCTCGTGAGCATCCATGAGTCCGCTAGAGTCCGAGTTAGCTTCTTCCGTGCTACGTTCGAGATTATTTTCGACGTTAAAGTCGACTGGGTTGATGATTGAAGCTATTGGAGACGAGAATGATATTGTAACATTGCGACGCCGCGGAGTCTCTGAAACTCGGTCTTCATGGATAGATATCTCGCTTTCAAACTCCTCAGTAGGTTCCGCTATGATTTTAGTCTGAGCAGCTATTTTGCGACCTGTCTCTTTGTTTGGTTCATGGAATACCGGCAAACTAGTGGTGTTAACTTGTTTGTTTTCCCAAACAGACGATTTATTCGTGGTTTTTGGCGCTGTACCTCCTGGATCCAAACCAAAGAGGTTCGAAGGATCAAAGTTAAATGGGGATTGACCAGGGTTATTCGAAGCAGGAGCTTGGTAAGTAGAATTATGCGGTTGCGAAGGCGTTGCGATTGGAGTATTCTTGTTGTCACTGAGTGATTGCGCCTCCTGCCTCAATCCAGCGGCCACTGCTTTAATTCGTTGCCGTTCTTGCGTTTCATCCACCGACAAGTCAGGAATATCTCCAAAAGGGTCATCTTCCGTTTCGTCTGCTGAGAATATTCCTTGTCCGCGACTCTCGGCGCTGACACTCTTCCCCTTGAACCAGATATTCTTCTCACGGTCAAAGACCATGCCAGCGAGCTGTTCGGGAATCAAATGTGAGACAGTATGAGGAGCAATAACGCGCCTTGAGTCTGAACCTCTCGATGAGCCAGTCGGAATAGAACGTGTTGTTGACTGGCTAGATGAAGCGTTGGATCCATGAGAAGGATACTCGGCTTCCTTGGAACCCTCGCTCACCGTTGGGATCGATGAAGCCGAATGTTTACGCTTTCGCTGAAGTTCGGGATTCTCGGATATTCTAATATTGGATGGCTCGCTCTCCAGAATGTTGCCCGACGTCAGGAATGTGCCTGAAGCCCGTGAAACTGTCACATTCGTCATTCGTTCAATCTCTTTAGCCTCCTCAACTGCTTCTTTAGCCATAGCCATAGTTCGTACTGAAGACGCAATGGCATCATCCATATCACTCTTCTCCTGATACTTGCGAAGGTGATCCAAGATTACGGGATCCTCTTGCATAACAGGCAATCTTGTAATCGGTTTTCCTTCACGACTCGGGGGCCTTGAGAACGGCTCCTGCGTAGACTCCTGGTATGAATCTTCAATAAATTCTTCTTCTGCAGCTCCCTTGGGTATCCGGTTTCTGTCATTTTCGGCCTCGGATTCCTCAACACTAGTCAGACCACTCCGCGGTCTCGCTTTACCCCGGATTCCTGCCATGATTTTTTTGGCTTCATCAAGGAAGTCTTGTGTTGTGACAGAACCTTTGCGGCTCTCGTCGCGTTGCTGGCTAGCTCCGAGAGGTGCGGAGATCCTTAGAGGATCCGTCGTATCAAGTTCAGCTTGTATTTGCGCAATCCTCCGCTCTTGGAGTACTCGTGCCTTTTCGATGGTAGCCATGTCTAATTCCACGAGCGGGGGCCGTTCATTCTGTTGACTACTTCGTTGGCTTGGTGTTGGTGTCCGAGGTCTCAATATCTGACGCATGGCGAGGACTTTTGGATTAGCGGCCTGCTGATCGTCCAAATGCCTTGCATCCTTACGTTTTCCAATAACGGATTGCATCTGCTGGTGCGTTTCTCTCAAAGAGTCAATCCCGGCGCTATCGTCACCTACTTCCAACTCGCTGATATCTTGGTTTTGTAAGGTCCGTCGCCGTTTGGGGGTCGGATCTTTCAAGGGTGACTTTGGTAACCTTTTTCCCTCTGAATCTCCATTCCTTTTCCTTGGTGTTTCCAGATCCTCCAGCCTTTGAGATGTCGGCATCTCGCTTGACAACTCGGAAGTACTAGTAGTCGGCCGTATTGTCTTGCGAACATTGATAGTGCGCTTTGTTGTATTTGTGGTGGTAGTGTGTCTGGACCGACGCGTCATCACCATTTCCTCGTCCAGAGCTGGAGATGGTTCCAAATGGAATTTGAATCTTGTTTGAGTTGTCGGGTCAAGCACAGGGAGAGACATATTCTCTTTATCCTCATCTTGACTGTTGGATCTACTCGAATCGTAGGATGCCTCCTCACTAAACTGAAATTTATCCAACTCCCCTTTCCCAAAGCTAGTGACTTTGCTCGATGTATGCGAATGGCCTTGGCCCTGTTGCCGTGGCTTAATTGGACTTGATTCAGCTACAGAACCTTCATTGATATCGGGGTTTGTTTGTTCCTGTCCTGATACGGAATGCACAAAACCTTCCTCGCTTCCATCCAAGTCTCCTTCGAATTGGCTCAGTCGGCGTAGTAGTCTTTGCTTAGTGAAAGTATCATAAGTGTCAAAAATTTTCAGCGGACTTCCTGAACTGGTTTCATGTGGCCTCTCATTGGGTTTAGAAGGACTTGAGTGAGGCGTTTGGGGAGTTGGAGATAGGTCCCGACCTGAAGGAACTTGATCCTGGTTTGAAGTTCGAGTCTTCCTGACGTTAGGTAGTTGCTTTGGCGTGCTTGCTTGCATCGACTCTTCCGGTAGCATTGCTGATTCGTCTATGGCCGGGAGTGAAGATGGGCTCAACATGCGCTTTTGAAAAGATCCCTCTTCTGAACGGCCTCCTCTACGAGTATTGATGAACTGACCATTATGTGCGAAGTCATCCGTGTCAGCTGTCGTGTTTTCCAACACGATCCGTGAACTGTCCTCCAGGGCTTCGCTGACCTGAAGTGGGCTATCTTCTCGAATGTCCTCTAATCGTTGTTTAACTTCAGCAACTGGTATCTTTGCCAAAAAATCAATATTTCCGTCGATAGTATTGTGTCTCGACACATATATTGGACTGAGCTCTTCGTTGCGCATATCACTTTGCCCACTCACTGTCCGTTCTCCTACTCCATTTTGCGCAACTGAACCTTCCATGCTCGAGTCGTAAATCCGTCCACTTTGAGCAGTTGCAGCCCTTGGGTGAAAGTTACTACTTCGACTCAAATCTGATGCCGAAAAATCGCTGCCCTCATCATTGACCAACTTGTATTTCATGGCTCGTGGTTTTCCACGCTTTTGTTCTTCCACCTCTTCTCCCTGGTCCGATAAAACTTCCGATTCTCGAGTTTCTCTATTGATATTGTATGGAGGGGGGCTTGAAGGCATGACGATACTCTCTTCCCCGACTGTCTGTGTCTGGAGCTTTGATGGTAATGGCGGCTGCGGTTGAGGAGGCCGAAATAGGTTTTCGATACCAGCAGGGCTGAACAAATCCCGTTGCTCGCCATACGCAACATCTCCATGCAACAGTCTCCTCTTCCATTCAGGTATTTCGCCTGACACTCTCTTCGGTGATAAACTAGTGGATTTATGTTGAATTGTGTGGCATTGTGTTGAATGAGTTGTGGATGCAGATATTGTTCGAGAATGCCTTCCCCGCGCACTTCCCATTTCGTCGCGGAGTTTTGAAGGATTCTTAGATCCCCGTTGAGGCAATGGAATATTGTGCTCATTACTACTGCGCTCACTAAGAGGGCTATCGGTAGCGGTCCATGTTTTCTTCTGGGGGTTGAATTTTGGGATGCGACTCGACTTGGCGCGCGCGTCAGAAGATTCGGAAGTATTATCGGTCAGAGATGGCAGTGAAGGTGCTGGAGAGCCAGATGACCTTGGTTGCGAAACCCAGTCTTCTGAAAGGGAATCCAACCATGCCTGCTCCATAGCAATGGCAATGTTGGGGGATGTCGTGGGAGAGTCTTATGTTTTGTTCGGCATGGACTATGGTTTGCTGCTGTCGCGTCGGCGATTGTCTCGGTCTGAATGATGTATCGATGGGTCTTCCTGAATCTAGCCGTGGGTTTCAGCGACCCTCTATGAAATACCTGTGGTAATATGGTAAATTGTCATTGTGAACGCGTAACGGTCGAGATGAATCCATACATCAATCTAAGCGCGTTGTATGCGGCGCGGGTCCAAGGTGCCAAGTCGCTGTAGCAACAGCCCCACCACAACAATGGCTTTTCATGGCCGAAAGCCCTGATCTCTAAAAAGTTCTTGATGACAGGACAGGACATTGAAAATACCTTTTTTTTTAGATAGTCCAGCTTTGTGTCAAATAGGTAAAGGATGGGATAAGTTGATATACAAAAGATTACTTGTTACATTTAGTGAAAATAAATAATATCAACAGTCTACCTTTGCTGTGGTCTCACACCGACGTCGTCCTTGCAATTAAATGTCCCAATCGTCTCAGAATAATCAGGATTAGAGAATTGGCATATAGCCCTATTCAGGCGTGTTCAGTATTAATAAAAATGAGTTTAATGGGTTTTAGTAAAGCAAATGGGCCATAGTATGTATACCTAGGCGCTTTCCAGAATCTGTCTTTGGATGAAGAGGTCCTTTGCCAGTCGCGTAAATACCACTTTACGCCAAAGAAACGCCACCAGACGCGACAATCCCACATGCTACCTGGTCAACATGAACCACCACCCCCACCGTCTCAACCCGATCTAATGCCATTCCGAATACCCTTTATCGCATGGGACCTTCATCAATATGTACTCTCATGGCGGTAGGTCCTTGCGAAAGGGCAGCAAATCCCACGATGCGCCATTTCACTACTCACCTGCGATCGCCCCGGAAGATGTGATCTGCGGGGGTAGTGACACAGAGGAGACCGAAGACGAAATACGAAGGAAGCACCTACGATACGAAGAGCAGGCGAAGAGATATATGACTGGACACATACCAGTTCTAGAGTCAGTTCTTCTGCGGGGTCCTCTCACCAGAGAAAGCGGATGGGTGAACCCATGGCGATATCAAGAACCAAAAAGGGAAACATGGTGGAAACCGGCAGCAAAAGATATGTTGTTCAGGAAACAGGATGTAATGAAACGGGCTGCAGACCATGGGCTAGGGCATCTAAATCCAGCGGAAGCTCTTGCTTGGTGCAAATCAACAGCCGCGGCTGAGGCCAGGGCTGCATCATCCTCTAGTTCTAGATCGAGGGCTTTCGATTTGAAGTCTTCGCAAATGAGGGAGAGTTCAGAAGGGCTTTTGAGTCACTCGGATGACGAAGAAAGGTTGCTTGAACAGGCCGGCATACCAGGCGAGAGAGTAACGCCATACGGATATACGGAGCAGAAGGCTAGGAATGGAATGGGATTTAGGGATGTAGAAGAGGGCACAAAAGGGACTAAGAGACCTGTCAATTCGAAATGGTTGAAAGGATCTTATGTTTCAAAGCGTGCTCGTTGGGAAGGACCAGCTATCTCTACGCCAACACCCTTGCCCGACCTTCATGGTGACAGAGACCGACGTCGACAGTCAAAATTGAAGGAAATTGGGAGGTCGCCCCCAGCACCCCATTTGAGAAGTTCATTGCAGGACAAATTGCAGGCAGGTGCCCTTGAATTGAGCGGAAACATTGCACCCGCCAATATCCTTCCATCGAAATGTCACTCGAAACAGAGAACTCCATCGTTGAATCCGTCCTCTATACCAGATGCCCAGCCATGTCCCTCGCATACAAGCCGGAATACAATACAACAGCAGGAGGTGGGATATATGGATGGGTTTCAGGAAAGTTCGACTTTGAGATTTGAACAAGATTCAAGACTGGACTTCCTTGAAACTACATGCGGTGCTGAACATATATCCAACACGACCCTTCAATTGGGAATTTTACCTTCGTCGCCTCCCGGCCAGAAACGATACATACAAACACCTGCAACTCACAACAAGAGTGCACAAGCGAGTTCAGCCCCTACTTTTCCTAGTGCGTTACCAAAACTGCCTCGCCGTACAGAAACACCCAAATGTCCGAAGCATATGGCAGAGTCTTCGCAAGATGTTAGCTTTGTCACGGAAGTTGCTCCATCGTCGCGTAATGTAGAAGAATTCCAATTCCGGAAAAAGCGAACAAAATCTCGACAGATTGCTACAGTACAACTACAGGAGTCTAACGATCCTATCTCTGTAAAGGTGTCAGTAGCGAGAAATCCCTCGGAAGACAGCAATCACCATATACAAAATGTATGCGCTCCTCAACTAGACAATCTTAAATTTGCCTCTCATTCCAATACCAACATTGCAACCCCATTTGCCGCTCAGAGTGGAAACCCTCTGATAACTGAGAACTTCACTTCTCATTGCAAAGAGAACGGAGACATGAGTCGATTACAGACGCCTTTCTCACATCGAGTTCCAATCACTCCACCTTTGCTGCCAGAATTTGCCAATTTCGGATACCTTTTCTCTCAAGGTGGGCTCGGCATATCTCCAGAATCTGGCGTTGTTGTACCAGTCATTCAACAGAGTTCAATCTCGTCGACCAAGTCAGGTCATCCAATGCCCTTGAATGCCTCACCTAGACCGCCAACAAGCGTAGCAAAGTCGCCGGTACCAGTTCTGCAGCAGAGTCCAAATATTATAGCCAGTTCGAATCGAGCACTTTCCTCGCATGCGTTACCTGGATCATCAAGAAACATAGCGAAGTCGCCGGCGCCCGTTCTTCAGCAAAGGTCAAGCTCATCAGCCGGGTCGAGCCAAGAACTACCCTCGCATACGCTCCGTGGGTCGCCAGCAAAGACTGTGAAATCGCCAGTACCAGTAAATGCATCTCCTAATCGCCCAAAGGGGCTTAAGCAATGTGATTCCAGCACCCAATCGTACAATACGACACCAGAAAGATCCGGACGAAGCAGAAAGTCCTCTCAAAAGCCGCTTACCCAAAGTCAGGTCCGTGAGGAGGTATTTGTGGTTGTTGAGGAAGTCCCATCTAAAATCAAGGATGATAGTCTAATTGATAACGAAATGACGTTCCGAGGCGACGTTGGCCAAGTCGATGTGAATGTCCGAGACGACGGGGCCCTCAAAGGATCAGTTACGAGGCAGCATATCCTTGACCAGCAACTCCTGGATCAGCAGATCCCAGAAAAACAAGTTCCAAGAGGCGTGCAGCTTCACCTCGAAGGAGTTCCCTCGGAGATAACCCCCCTTGAGCAGCTTCCAATAGAGTATGTTGCACTTGAACAAAATCAGCGTGAGCACGACAATGAGCATGAGCAAGTGGATGACGAGAACGACGACCGGAAGACTACTCCTGAATATAATATAGACGATGATGAGACCGCCAGCGCAGATACTTCGGACGAAGAGACTGATGATGAAGATCTTGAGTCTCTAGAAGATGTTACTCGAAGTAGATCAAATCGTTCGTCAGAAGATTCGCTGTATGTTGGTCCCACCGAACCGAAAAACGATACACTCTCAGGAAATAGTGCACATAAACTCCCGTCTTCTCAAGCTGCCTCCTCATTTCAATCGACTTCTCAAATAGAGGCTATTGAGACCGAGGCGACGAGACCATTGGTCCCAGAAGCTAAAGTCCCGAAGACCCCAGAGGTTGCGTCTCAAGTTATAAGGCCAGGAGAACAGACTCCCTGGACTAAAGTGACTATAGGTGTCATCTCAAAACCTATATCCCTAGCCCTTGATGCGAGTACCAGTTCTCACGAAACAGTTCCACAACCAGAAGAAAACGATTCGCCGCGAACTGGCTCTGACATAGATGAAAGAAGTTGGCATCATATTGAGCGCTCTCCATCACCTGATGAGGAGGCAATCATACCATTCAGGGACATTATGACACCGCCAACACCACCGAAACGGAGTAAGGCTGTCGAAGATTTACCAAGTACGCAATTACTCGTTGAGGCTGCACTCAGTAACCCTTGGAGAAGCAAGAAGACGGCATCTGGAAGATTCAAGAAGCGAGTATCTTTTGGTGTGCTACCATCGGATACAGATGAGATGGATGATGTCACCCCTCTTCCAAAGCAAATTCCTGGCTCTCCGCCGCCGCCGCCAGAACCCGTGGAGGTGTTTGAAGAGGATTCATCCGACGAGAGTACTATACTCGTCACTTTCGGAGACCATTTCAGTGCTGCTAGAAAACAAAGACTGATTCCAGAATGCACGGATTCACAAATCAACTGCAGCCCAGCCGTGGTTGCACAAGCACAAGCTTTCCTCACCGCAGACCAGCAGGCTCCATTGGAGCAACAATATTACAGGACATTGGCAGCTAAACCTTCCCGTCACCTCAACCTTGGGGGGAAAGCTATGGATCATCCCGTGTGGCAATACAGCGAGGGGGCGGACAACCCATTAGAAGAGTCACCATTCATCGGCACAAAAGGGGACTTGACAGGTTTAAACCCGCCTATGCCAATGTTCGACATGGACGATGTTCTCGGGGATGCTGAAAATTTTCTAGAGGACTGGTCAGTTGATGCCGAGCTCAAGAAGGCCAAGAATGTCGATTTGAGCAAGGACATTGAGAGCAACGGTGCAAAGAGGAGGAGACTGTTCGGGATTGTGTGAATGGTATCAGTGCAAGGTGTTATCTGGGGCAATGATACTGGAGTAACGGCCCCGTGACGGAGGGTTTGTCTGATTGTGAGTAAGTACAGTATGAATGTTACAAGTCATGAGGGATTTTGCTGTGTGCTTTGCATAGCTACAGGATAAGGAGTTGGGGCTATGGTGGTGATCTTACGATACCCCTTGAGTTATACCGATAATATCAGATTTCGTACCTTACACAGGGTTAGACGGGGTCTTTCAGCGTAGAGTTCATAGCATGTGTCCAACGACAAATGGCTCATTCCCGCGGTGCGCCATTCATCGGTACCGTTTGTTTAATTGGATACGTGCCTCTAATAAGTCTTCTACTATATACTTTTGCTTGTCAGCGTGTATGGCGGACTGTGCAGACACACGTTTCCATTTCATAGGTTGACGTGCTGTCCTCCGTATCGCTCCTCCGTATCGCGCCTCCTGCATCATCAACAGCAAGGGTTCTACCCCCCTTGGGATGTTTGTCCGTAGCTTCCCTGTCTCCAGCCTGTGGAGCTTTCGAATTAAAGTGCCCATTGGAAGCGCCTTGTCAGAATTGGAAGCTTTCATACATGATTGTGTTAGTAGTGTTTTTTGGCTAGCAAGCAGGATAAAGAGGCCCACAACAGGAGGAATAAAATATTGTTTGTAAATAAAGCAGTATATGTCTACTAGATACATGTATTTCATTGATGAACTTCTACTGTAATCTTGTGCCTATCTGCATATAAAGTACAGTACCATACTGTACGGAGTATCCCGCATCTCCTCCTTGGCGTGACCCGACAACCTTAAAACGAGGCTGGGTCTTGCCCTCCCCCCCCCCCGGCTCGGCACATTGTTTGCGCCACCCTTTTCACATTTCTATCCAATCCAATACAAACCTCAACCACACCCACAACCACAATCATAGTCATATAGGTGGTGGTTTGACTTCCTCTACCATCAATTCTCAGTCAATAGAACTGCAAGTTTGCTCAACGTGATCACGGCGTGTACCAGCTCAAGCCTCTGCAGCATTGGCATATTGACGCGACATCTCCAGGAACGGCACCAAACTGCACGACAAATACTTTCCTTCCGTGGCCCCGTGTGAATCATACGCAAGCCAGATCCAGGACACCGCAGTAGCGAACCCAGCTTTCCCTACCTCCCTTACCTCCCACCAATCTCCGTAGCCTTGAGAGGCCCCAGATCTGCGAATCAAAGTGGCACATTGCGCGAGCACTCGATAGATGTGCGCCCATGTCAAGCCCCCCCTCTGAGTCCGGACACCATGCCGCACCCACCGACCTGGTGAGGTCTGAGCAGGAGCGAGCACATATACATTCTCAAGACAGCTCGCAGAGCCAAAGTTCAAAATGGACGCCTTTGCAGACCGCTCGAAAGAACCCTTCGTCTTTGTTGACACAAGCTTTAAATTTGAGCCGCGACACAGATCAAGACCTTTCGAACGCTGGAACCTCTACCCCTACGCAGTTAAACTCCTCCCCTATTTCTTCACAAGACACGCAGCGGGACAATGAGCTAGATAAAGATTCCGACCACTCGGTATATAGCATGCCAATAGCTGCATCTGCTTCGTCGACCGATTTACGAGCGGGTATGGGAGTTGGATCGTCTCTGCCCTCTATGATTTTCAATCTACGTGACTTGAATGGCACCAGTTCGTCACTGACGAATCATCGGCAACTCCTCAGCAACAAAAGCCGTGGGCGCGGAACATCATTAGAACGTACAGAGAAGGAGAGGCGCGTTCAAGAGATCCCACAAGATACGTTTGCTGCAAATCCCGGTGACACTGGTATAGCTGGTCCTCCCACGCCAATTCCCCCATCCGAATCAATATCAAAGACTCCTCCTACGGAAGGAGTCCGAGCGGAGTACAGATCTTGGAGAGATGCTCATCGCCCTGTAAAGAAAGAAGAAAAGGCGTGGTCTATCGGCAATCAAGGGAGTGAGGATGGGCAAGATGGCCCGGTTGAGAAGTCCCTCAAGGAAATACTTACTGGGGTTGAGCACGATGGTCGCAGCAGGAAAGCGAGTCACAGTATGGGCTTCTTCAGAGAAGGTCTACCAGAGGATAAGGCCAGGAAGCGGGATAACAAGAGTAGAGTCCATCCCAAAGACGGTCCATCTAGTGCCAAAGATCATGTTGGACGTGAGATTGAAGACCAGAAGGACCAGAAGAGCATTCAGACCGGGGATTTCCAAAGCCCAACGCATGATAATGTTGGTGGAGGTCACTTTGATGGAGCATCCCACAGCTCACCGCAAAGTACGGATAAGGGTGAATCGAAAGAAGCACGGGAATTGCCCGCCCAATTACTTGACGAGATCCGGAAACACCACAACCTAACAGTCGGTGCTGGCAAAGGCTCATCTTTTTCGTCAAGTATACCTGTCACAGAATCCGAAAGGTTGAAGTTTGACGGTGAAGATAAGTCTCCGAAGGTTCCACGGACTATCCGAGAGGAGGAAGCGGATGACAATGGCACAATATTGACCCGTACACGAAGGGCAGACGATGAGGATGATTCTGGAGAAGATGAAATTTCGTCGGCTCTCTTCGTCCCCCACAACAGTACAAATCTCATGGAGTCTCCGGAGCGGACTAGACGTAGTTCGCATAATGACGATAAATTACGACTAATAGATAAGGACCGTTTGGATGCAACGAACTCTCAACAATGGCTCGAGGAGCACGAAGTACCATCTGACGAAATAGACAAGAAATATGTTGCAAACGAAGACAAAACTCGGCCGCTCCCATCCCCTACCCATAGTATACATAGTATGCAGAAGCAGCCTACCGATAAAGGGTCTTCTAGTCTCCATGATGTACCCGAAATTGAACCCGAAGTCCATGATGAGGATGGTTACAGTACGACAGCTGAGGAATCTGGTGTGGAAGATCTCGACACGACGCCAACCGGTTCACTGAAGCAAATTCACGAACCGTACATTGCGAACCAACCACACATTCACGAACACCAGAAAAGCATCATACAGCCGCTAGAAACCATTGAGTTGATTCCGTATCGACACCAGGTTGGAGGCCACACGACTATGTGGAGATTCTCCAAGCGTGCAGTCTGTAAGCAACTGAATAACCGCGAAAATGAATTTTACGAGAGAATTGAGCGTAACCATCCTCAGTTATTGAACTTTCTTCCTAGGTGTGTCTTCTTCTTGCCTTCGGCTCTTTCTGCTCACATTGCCGATGCTGAGTTGCTTCTAAAGACCCCACAACCCCAGTATATCGTGCCAAGAATTTAGATGCTAATAGAGTATGTTTTCTTTCTTTCTTTAGATACATTGGTGTTCTCAATGTCACTTTTGCAAAGCAAATACGCCGCAGGTCCACGCGTAATGATCATCCGGAGGTAGCTACTAATCGCAAGGCCCTTGCCCAAGATGGCCCGCAGGAGCCTACGAGCGAGAAGGTAGCAGATGCTCCAAATAGCAGTACTTCTGCTACTGATATGCCAGAGGCCACAAGGATGATCAGTCAGTCAATTCAGGCCTCTTCTGTGCCAATTCCGACTGTTACCTTTGCGGATAATAGACATATTTTACCATCAAGATTTTTTCGAAGCCAGGCATGTGCGTTGGATCCACACCAGAGATCTAAGAGTGATGGTGCTGCTGCGTTGTACCAAGACGCCGCCCAAACACAGCCACCGTTACCTGATGCGGACTTCACGTTTCGTCCCTCATTGGCAGATAAACACGCGACTAGCTGGGGCGCTACAACAGTGAACAAGGAGCTTCGAAACAAAGTCTTTGACGAAGCTTTCCTGGGACAGCCAATTCCAATTGAACGCCACAAAAAGCCAGGATCACAAAAGCGATCGTTGCCAAATCGTCGTGGAACTGGGCCAAACCTCCGAGTGTCTAATTCGGAATCAAGTCTCACGGCTGCTCAGCAGACTCAAGCGCCCGCTACTGCGCAGCCAGCTGAGATATCTATTCGCCGCCAGGCTCTAGAAGCAGCAGCTGCGCAAAGGCAGAGCGCAGATTATAATACACCAGCCAATATGCCTAAGTCAATCCCAAGGAGGGGCTCCAACGGCGACGAGGAAGAGAAGGTGTTCAATGAAAAGGCAGGCACTAGTGCTCCAGAGCCCGAACTTTCTCGTACTCAAGGCGATTCTTCCGGTTCATCTGGCAAACGACAAAGACGATACTCAAGCGGCGGACTTCGCCGTAAGCCTACCGAAGTAGCCGAGGATCGTGGCAATCTAAGGTATTTTGAAGAGGCGGATGACGCTGGTTACAAGGGAGATGCTGAAGAGGAGGTCTTTACAATGGATCCTGAGACATCAAATGAAAATCAAGTACCTCAATCAAAGCCCATGGATTCAGAACTCTCACACGAAGCCGCTAAAGATCCAGTCGCCACGAATGGTTCTAATGCTGGTGAAGAGGCTTCTGACCTCATGCCACCACCTACTCGGACTCAAACTTTAGATTTCCTAGGTATCCCTCGTCCTGTGAACCCCAAGGAAGCACAAACGCAACAAGGCTCGCGTGTTCAATATTTTCTACTCCTTGAGGATCTAACATGCGGTATGAAAAGACCTTGTATCATGGACCTCAAGATGGGGACCCGACAATACGGCGTTGAGGCCAGCGAGAAGAAACAAAAGTCACAGCGGCAGAAATGTGCTGATACAACATCGAAAGAGCTGGGTGTCCGTGTTTGCGGGCTGCAAGTATGGGACGTTAAGGACCAAAAGTACGTCTTTAAGGACAAATATTTTGGGAGAGACCTCAAGGCCGGGCGGGAATTCCAGGACGCTCTAACGCGGTTTTTATACGACGGGGTTGATTATTCGAGCGTTTTACGACATATTCCCACGGTCCTAAGGAAGCTTTCTGAGCTCGAAGTTCTGATTCGCGGTCTTGTCGGATATCGATTTTATGCTGCAAGTCTCTTGATGTTTTACGACGGAGATACTCACGTCGAGGATGAGAGCGATAGTGCAGCTACGGAGAAGGATGTAAAACCTGTGAAGGAGATTGATTTCAAGATTGCAGATTTCGCGAATTGTATAACTAAAGAGGGTCTCAGCGAGGGTACACGCCCTTGCCCACCCAGACACGCAGATTTGCCCGACATGGGTTTTTTGAGGGGTTTGAAGAGCCTGAAGAAGTATTTCATTGCTATACAGAATGAAGTACGCGTGAAAGAGATGGGGATGGCTGACGAGAGAGTCAAGAATGGTTCGAAAACCCCTGTGTGTGATGGCGCCGGAGATTCGGATGAAGGTGATATGAGTTATTGAAGGATTCGGATCGGTTTGTATGACTGGAGATGTTTATTGCTTTGCATTGTTTTTGGCGTCGGGACTCGGCTTGCGCATACCCAGCATTGGCAGAGGCGTCTTTGTGATGAGGGCTCGGGTGGGTTTTTGTAGATTTTTATACTTCTTTGCTCTCAGGGGCTGTTAGCTTAATCGCTGTTTTGTAATAACCCTCAAGTCTTACATTCAAATTTGGTCTCGGCCTTGGTGATGTGAATGATTTCACAGAGAGAGAGAAAGGAGATGAACTGTATCGGATGTAAGATGCCTACCTAAGTATCTTTAGAGCATTAGACAGTGTTTGAAATGTGTTAAAAGGTGAGTTAGGTAGGTATTAGACTTGGTGTGTATATATGTACACGTGATTACGCGCACTATCTAGACACGAGCCGAGATTACGGTAGTCGCGTCACTCATTCAACCCTCGAGCCTCCCCTCCTTGCCATTGAGCTCTCAAATCAGCTGCCTGGCTGTGCAGCTTCACCTCAATTGTTTCGCAATTAACTTCACGTCTTTATTCAATATGCCCGAAGTGGTTGATCTCTGTTCCAGCCCCCTCTATCATCACTACGCCGCGTTGCGCCTGTCAACAAGACAAAACCTACAGCTCCTGCTGCTGCTCCTGCTCCTGCTCCCCCGAAACCCCTCGCATCCAAAGCCCCAACCGATAAAGATGATGACTTAACGATCATCTCTTCCGATGATTCGGTCTTCAATGTACCAGGAATACCAATTTCTAAAGTCAGCCGTCCAAACGCATTTGCGACAACAAAACCAAACACCGCAAAACCTCCCTCAAAGCCAACCGTTGCCCACGACGTTGATGTCTTCTTCCAAGAAGATGATTTTGATAGCACTGTCAATTTCGACGACTCCGTCCTGGAATTGCCTCCCGCGAAGAGGCAGCGATTGTCGCCTCCCCCAAAAGCTGCGCCGTCCAAATCTACAGGATACAAGCGTTCGGTCTCGAATATCGAAACATCCTCCAAAGGTGCTACTTCACGAACTCTTTCTGCGCCTGTATTAAAAAGGGCGAGGACTACTTTGGAAGATGATGAGATTCTATTTACCAGCTCCCCGGATCCGTATCTAGAGGCGAGGAAGCGACGGAATCAGAAGAAAAAAGCGGACAAGGAATTGGATGATTTTGATGATGTCTTCGGTCTGGACTCTCCGCGAGCTATCCCGGGCCGTTTTGTTGAAATATCTGATTCTTCTGAGGAGTTTCCTGATGTTGATGATATACCTATGACTGCTCCAGTTAAGCTAGTCAAGGCAAAACCTTCCAAGACTAGTTCTCCCAAAGGAAAGAGTTCGGAAGCGGCTCTAGCGAAGTACCACAGAGAGAGAGCTGCCGAGAAGAAGGTGACTGAGAAAGCTCAAGCAGCCAAGGCAAAAGAACTAGAAAAGAAAGATAAGAGTGTTGCTAAAGAAGCCGAGAAAGAACGAAAAGCCTTGGAGAAGGAAAAAAAGAAATGGGAGAAGGAAAGAAACCAGGAACTCGCCAAGGTCAACGTTTCTCGCAACGACAAGAAGATCTCGACCTCGGAGATGATTGTAGAAATGTCGTCGGGACTGGACTCTATCGTTGCGGATGTGGTTCGAAAGCAGTTAGATCCTTTGCAAGTTGAGCATTCGACCTGGGATGAGACAGCTCCAATCGTTAAGTGGAAGAGAAAGGTGCAAGCCAAATACGATCGTGAAAAGGGGCATTGGGTACCAACTCATGCGCATATCAAAGTCGAGGAGCATATCATCTATGTCATGACCGCCGAGGAATTCGTTGAAAGAGTTACCGCTGATGAAGGGGCTGACATCGACATTCACGTTCTATGTCTCAAGGCAAAGTTCAATTCGTGTAAGATTATATACCTAGTCCAAGGGTACACTATCTGGACCAGGAAGAACAGGAATTTCAAAAACCGCAAGTTCATGGAGAGTGTGAATAGTCAGATCCCCCAGGAAGCACCAACAGCTACTCAGCGGAGCAGGAGAAAGGAGCATAAATATGTGGATGAGAATATATTAGAAGATGCCTTGTTAAGACTACAGGTCATTCATGGAGCTATGATTCATCACGTTATGCTGAAGCATGAGACTGCCGAGTGGATCGTCACGTTCACTCAGCATATATCTACTATTCCTTACAAGTGCGCACCTCTTCCCCTGATTCCCTGAAGACATACTCACATATGCACAGAACACAAAAAGACCTCCTCGACAGCGCATTCTGCATGGACTCGGGCCAAGTCAAATCCGGCGAAGACGCCAACGATACCTACAGCAAGATGCTGCAAGAAATCATCCGCATCACGGCCCCCGTTGCATACGGCATCATGGCCGAGTATCCTTCGGCGCAGAAGCTGGTTAAGGGGCTGAAGGATGATGGGCCGTTGGCGTTGGAGGACTGCAGGAAAATGGCTAATAAGAATGGCGCTTTTACGGATAGGAGGGTTGGGCAGGCCATTTCGAGGCGTGTGCATAGTGTTTTTACGGGGAGGGATCCGGGCAGCTTTGATGTTTGAGCGTGCTGCCTGAGTAGGGTTATTTTGGAGCTCTTGTCTGATGAATTGCTCCTTAGGTTTGGACCTTTCTCGGATAGAATTCTGTCTGGATGCAATATGCTCTGCTTGTATTTTATACCGTACCGATATCATGAGTACATTTACCAATTCAACCTTATAAACCTTTACTTAGGCCAAAAGCAACTGATTGCTTCAGTTTTTGTCATCAAACCAGACTTCGTTACTCCTTCCAAGAAGATTAAAGTAGGAAGGTAGTTCATAATGCTTTGCAAAAATAGTGTCCTAGAATGATCCAAGGAACCTTGTTTTCAGGCCTTGCCTAGTGCTCAGTAACCCCAAGGAGAGCAAGAAGATACCTAGGCTAGGCAGAAGAGAGGGCAAGGCAAGTTAAGGTGTTAAAGTGGTCTGTCTACATTAGGCCTAAATACATTATCCATTCGAAGTTCATGACCACCATTAAGTCTACCATGGCATTAATCAAAAACTCTCTATCCGACCAAGCATTCCCACGCCACCATAACAATCCACTATCCTCGCCTCCGTAACCCCGTCCTTCTCATCGCCCATCACAATCCTATACCTCTCTCCAGCATACAACGGCCTCGTAGCCCGATACGTGATTTTCTTGGGACTAGCATTGCCACCTCTGACATCTCTCCAGAAATCCACTATGTTGATCAGATTCAGAGGGCCGTGAACTACGAGGTCGCGATGTCCCTCGACTTCTCGGCACCACGCGCGGTCGTAGTGGATCTTGTGGGCGTTGAATGTTAGAGCTGAGAAGCGGAAAAGTGACACGGGCGTCTGTGTGAAGTCACGCGTGTGGGGACCGGACGGTAATGGGACTTCTGCCGGTCTGGCGGCTGGGGCTTGGGGTTCTGTGATCTCGGGACGGAAGATCCAGTTTCTGGTCATACGTTTAGCAAGCAAATTCTTTCTTGTTGGGCCGTTACGTTACTGGGCGCTATGGATGGGATGATATCGAGTTTCATTGCTAGAGCGGAGCGAACGCATACCTCCTGTCGATGAGAGCTACGCCCTCGCTATTATTATACTCCTTCTCTACGCCCACAACGACCATCTCCTCGCCCGCTCCCGTTCTCTTGCCTACTGCGGACACCAGCTTCGTAGTCTCGGTAACCTGCTGGCCAACCCTCAATCCCAACACCCCCTTGCCCGGCACCGGCCACTCCAGCTCTCCCCCCGCCCACATGCGCCTCGTAAACGGACGTGGAGGGTTGAACGTCGTGTCCGTGCCATCGCGCCCCAGCTCCTCCTCGACCTGCGATGGCGTGAAGTAGGCTAGATGGTAGCACGGAGGCAGAGGCGTGCCATTCTCCGGCAGCGAGCGAGAGAGCTGCGTCCGGGAGAGGGTGGCTGATAGGCGCTGCAGCTGGTTGGCGTCGAGGAGTTGGGATTGTGTGGATGGGGGCTGCGAGTGCGCTTTGGCGAAGAATTGGGAGGCGATGCTGGGTGCCGAGGGAGAGGAGGGGATGGGGATGCTGCTGTATAGACGGCGGATTGTGTGGGCCATGGCTAGATACTGTACCTAGCTTTTGGGTTATGGATACGAGGACCGAGTTGAACTGCTGCAGACATGAGTAAGTAGCAATTGTGAGGATCCTTCGTGAGTAGCTCTGGGAGAAGACATTCGGTCTTGTATAGCAAGGCAAGATTGTCTAGATAGAATAGAAGGGAAGAGCGACGTCCGCAGCTCTGCCGGCTACCTTGGCTATAAAAGCTTGGCCTTGCCTTGCCTTGTCTCCCCGCATCTCGGTGGAGACTGATGAGGAGGCATCCGCATCGTTGTGGTCGTGCCGTGCCGTGTTCCTGAGGCAAGTACGAGTAGCCGAGCAAGTCCAAACGCCAAGACTTCCTCTCGTCTGATAATGCAGATGTAACATGTTCCAGCATGTTAATGCAGTTTCTTGTTTTGTTTTTCCTATGTTTCGGTTTCAAGATTCTCTTCTCTGGAGATCTTCAGCTGACAAGGATTATTTGTCGAGTTTGTCACAAGAAATAGATAGGCATAACGATTTCATACTAGACAATCTTCAACATGTTTTGAACAAAGGGACCTATCATACACTACATTTCAGGCTTCTTTTCCTGTGAAACCGCTCCTTTGCCCATCCCCCAACCTCTTCCCCGAAAAGTGATCATCGATGGTTATCATCGTGTCAAAGAACTCGAGCGCTAAATAGTAAGAAATCCACCAACACCGTTGCCCCCAACCATTCCATCAACTCGTAACACATTCAATCATTTGCAAGACTTAAGCTTCAACCTTTACCCATGAAATTTCCAGCTGTAAATCCCATAAGGGTCACTTTGTTCGCTGGAAATCACCACTCCCTCTATTCACTGAGTCTCTGGCCCATCTCAACTCCGGCCATAATCACGTCGCGACTCTCTCTTCGCTCTTCCATTCTCTTAATTAACTCTCGCTCTTTTGGGCTGCGTGGACTGGCATCCTATAGTCATAAAATTAGTTTCTGTTCGTCCCACGCCGTTATGAATAGTACTCACAATACCCAAGAGCGCAGAAATGCTTGTAGCACTGTTCTTGTTCTCGGTGACAGGGGTAGGCAGTTGCTGCATGGGCTGGGCGCTGTAACCCTGATAGGTTCCATTGCTGATAATGTGGGCATCAGGAGAAATGCAAGGAGTCGGAGGAGCATTGGTTGCAATTCCACGCTTCCATGCTTCTTCGAGCAAAAATGGAGATGCCCCACCCCCATACTCAGCTGCAATGATACTCCAGAATGAGCCACAGTGAGCTTCATAGATGCGACGAAGACGCTCCTTGTCAATGCTAACTACGTTGATTGAATTAGAAACGGCCCCACAGTCGAGACGAAGTGGTGGATTGACACCGGAATCAGAAAGAGCGCGGCGAGGTGGAGATGGCTTGGGAAGAATAGCAACCGGGTGACTGAGAATCCGGGAAGGACTGTTCGAGGTAGAGCGAGGAAGGAGGGTAGAGGCTGCTGGGAGCTGTACGTGGGTCGGGGTTTGCGGAGAGTATGTGTATGTCGGCGGAGAGGCGGGTTGCATTGGAGCAGATTCGCTGATGGGAGATGGCATGGACACTGGCATAATGGGAGAGTGACCAGAGGACCCAGCACTGGAAGAAGTGATTGAGTTGGTCCTCTTGCGGCGGTTGCTCCCATGGGAGAGCTGGTGGTAATGCAAGCGGCAGGCCAACTCAGTCTTTTTCAGATGAGCTGCAATGTGCTTATATGGCATTTTTTGGAGGCGGGTCTGCAGAAGATATACTTCCTACATTTACAGTCAGCATACCATACTCACGTTAGACATGTGTTTCCATACCTCATCCTCACTCCAAGCTCTTCCTCCTCCTGTAGAAGCCGGCTTCCTGTTTTTCTGAACTCCAAAGTCGTGTCGATTGACGGCATCAACAGGAGAGTAGTTCGACTGACCCATATGGGCGGAAGTGTTCATCTGGCTCGATGGGGTAGACATGATAATCGTTGATCGTTAAGAATCGAAAAGGTTACTGAAATATATATGTTGTAAATAAGCTCGTTGGTCCAGCAAGTGGCAAGAATTGAATGGTTGTAATGGGCAGTCCGGGGCTGCTGTAGAATGTAATGTGTTGGTCCAAAGCTCGTTATGCTGAAAGACTAAGTAGCGAAGAAAGATGCAACAAAGTTTTACAACGAAATATACTACAGTAAAAGAATGTAAGCAGCCAAGCCAGTTGGGCAATAAAGGAGAGTGATTATTAGCTGCGGAAAAGTGTAGTCGACGTCGAGTGCAGTAGGAGAGGAAAAAGAAGAGAGGGTGTACGGCGAGATCATATATGAAGCAGCGTCTTACATGGGATCATGTGGAGTTCCTGGAGCCCGCGGCAGCTCATGGCCATGCAGCTTGATCTGAAGTCTGTTCACCATGCCGGGAGACCGTGATTGGAGTGGTAGGGTTGATGTCCATCAGAGTTTCTGATTATGCGTGCCTTGATTTCATATCTCGATTGAGACATTTCTATCGTCGGGTTTCTGCATCATATTGGCGTTTCTTGGAAACTGGGGTCGAGACTTGACCTGTTTGGCGTTTGAGGGGTTGAGAAGTCTCAAGTTCCGCGCTTGCAAAATACATCTGACTTAATTGCTCGATACCGTATGCAGGCGAATAACAATTATATCTAGCAGACTCACATAATGCTACTCGTCTCCTAGCAAATATCGTCTTCGTGGTAGTGAGTAGCGACTCTTACTTGCAATTATTGGGACTGAATATTGGGCAGTGGAAAGTTCACCGGTACTGATCTGACGATGTGTGTTTTGTGGTGGTGAGATGCGAAACGCGCTTGTTATGGGACCCCTGCGAAATTCAAGCATTCGAAAGGGTGGAGATTCGCTCTCGAGCCACAGGCACTCTGGCCAATAACCAAATAACTCGTAACGGAGTCTTTGCGGCTCACTGAAAGGGCTTAGATGTGGATACCAGATGCACGATTGACACCTCGTTCAGACGTAACCGGGCCACTACTCCAAAGCCTCACTGGGCCGACTAGGCCTGAAGCAGAATTGGCTCGTACAGTACAGTCCTGTAAATGGCTGGTCTCATGCTTCTGTTTCACTGGTAAGGGGATAGAAACAACACAAGCATCAAATGGGGTTGGAAAACATATGGATACGTACCCCGGAATCTTCTGAGCCGAAAAGACTACCTCTCTCTCTCTTTGTTTACTTGCTCGAACGTCGGAAACCATCAACCCTGTTACACTACTCGCCTTCCTCTGAGAAACTTCTCAAACAGTGACGCAGATGAATGACCTATTCCTCTTGACAGTAACAGTAGCTTGAATGTCATACCCGGACGCTTGTTCTTGAGCTCAACAGTGGTCGATCTCGCTGAGTTAGAGTTCATGTCCTCGTTGAAGATCTGACCTGCTCATGTGTTGTGTTGTGTTATGATTTGAACGGTTTTAGGCTCCAAAGTATGTTCTTCTACGCATGATGACAGTCCAGGCAGCAAACTGAGCTCAGTTTGCCTTTTTGTTTACCGTCTGTTGTCTCAGACCAAAGAAACATAGACGAGAAATTACCAGGTGTTCGGAAGGGGCAGCGTCCGATTTCGTGCAGCGTTGATGTTCATGTTCATCGGGACGAGCGCGCCTCCATCCCATCGCCATTGCGAGGCATCTAATGAGCACCTTAATTTTGATAGCCCTAAACCCTTACTGTAGGTGACTCGGCGGTGTAGCGACTCTGGGCTTGGACAAGGATGATCAGATGAAAGATGCAGAGACGCTGGAGATGTGATGTCTCGAGAAAGCGCGTCCATGCACGGATTGACCGTTGAGCCGCGCCACCATCCATCCGTCCAATGCCTCGTGTTTTCTTCAGCGGGGTCGTTTGAGCCGTCACCTTGATACCGAGATCGTGTCGGAGGTACGAGCCTCCCTTTAGCCTAGCCTCCCCGAAGGACGTGCCAATTTTGTGCTGCCATTAGTAGATACATTGATAAATTTAAATAACACGAAAAGCGTCAATAACAACTCCGCTAGGACCGCTGGCGCAACGGTAGCGCGTTCGCCTCCAGAGCGAAAGGTTATCCGTTCAAATCGGGTGTGGTTCAATACCTCCTGCTGAGTTTAATTTTTTGCTAAATTTTCTTTTTTCCGTCTCGGTTACTGTCTCACAGCACTGCTGAGATTACATGCTTCTTTAATAATAAAGCTATTAATACCTTTTTTTTTTTAACTTTTTTTAGTTATTAGAGTATAATGTATCTCCACTATTCTCTAACCACCAGAAACATTAGGAAAAGATTATTTGATTAGGTAACAATTAGCGATATGGCCGCATAAACTTAGTATGTGTATGCAGCGCTGATACAGTATAGTAGACTCTATAAAGCGACAGGACTAGCATCAGAACGATAATAGTTTTCTATGATATAATGATATATACGGCCGAGCATAGCTGTCAGAGAACAACGTACTGTAGCAAACTTGGAGGGGTAGCCAGGGGCACCATGCCCCTCGTTTTGCCCTGGAAATCAGGGAACGTCATCTTGTGGCGGATGTTGACTGACTGTTTCAATCGTACCGGTATGGGCCACTGGCTCTGCGCTCTGTGGTTCATCTGGGGATGCTTAAGACGTTGAATCCTCCGCAGTTTTGGGTGCCCTTTTCTAAGTTTTCTTGAAGGAAAGATGGAAACAGATGTTTCGAAACTTGTTCCAAGGTTGCAGGTTGCAGGAGAAAATCGGTATGCGGTAACTTTTCAAAGCCGACAACATCATCATGGCATGGTAATGAGGGCACGTACCAAAGTAGCTATGCGTGTATCACGTGAAGTAAGTATCTACACTATACTACCTTTGATTCCCTCTCCGTTTTTAGACACCGCTTGATTGTTCTAACCTTACAATCCCGGTATAGCAATATATGAAATGCTGTTCTTTCTTTCTTTCTTTTTTCCCCCCCATGCTTAGCACGCACGCATAAGCACACGTCTATCCGGTACCTACATCCAGCGGCTTTTCCGCCAGTGGTCACTTTTACTTCACCGACAATACCGATTAAGTAAGTGGAGTCCTCGTCCAGGTCAAAAGTTCCATGCAATATGCTACTGTACGAAGGACTTGCTATAACTCGTCTTCGGCGCTCGAAAATAACGCTAGACTCTGATTTACAATCCGTATCTTGGAACTGATGCGAAAGTACCTGGCATGTATCGGATTACGAAGGTTATGGGAATGGGATTCTATATGCATCTATGATACTTTATTGGATTATTCACAAGGGGTAGAGCGATGCAGATATTTTAATTGCAAGTTGATGATATCTGACGAGGTGGCTTGTACGCAAACGAGAGTATTAAAAAGCAAAAACGCAAAATGAACGCCTTACAGCTTACTGCTGGCAGTTTAGTAAACAGCTATTGGGACGACCCAGTCTTTCACTGAAGACTTCGTGACTTGAAATGCCATTGGTCCGCCGGAATCACATTGATAACGTTGCAGAACCAATAAACGGTACTTGCCAGGCCGGTACCAGAACTATTGAGCGAAATCATCTGCCATGTACAGATTCTCATCGCCGGTAGCGGAGCGGGATATCGATCGACCCTCAAGTCTTCAATAGAAGGTGCTCTGTACACTAAAAATCATACCTAGGGTCTTGACCGCTAGGCTCGGGACGCTGGTAGGTGTCTTCGGGCCGGAATATATCCCCAATTTCGGGACAGTAGCCTAAAACTCCAAGTAGATCAACTCCAATTTCATCTCATCTAGAGATAAATCAAACGACTCGCACGGTGTTATCAGTCCCATATCTGGATCATTTCATGCGCTTAGCGCGGCACAACCTTATACGATGAGGAAAGAGTGTTGACGGAGAAGGGTCCTTCGCAGACGGCTCCACATTCTCGGTATCACTGCCGGGAAGTCATGCGCTCCTTTATCTGAATTATATGCAGAGATCACTGGGAAGATATGAAGTCAACCCAGATGATCAGCGTGCATGAAGTGCTGCCAGGAAAAAATCGAGAGAGCTCCAACAGAAAATGATAATCCAAGCATTTTAGCCCCTTTGAGCGATGTAGAGTGATATTGAAAGCAGGGACAAGTGATATTGAATCCAGCTTGAGGTTACTTAGCGCCATCGGGGGTACCTGGAAGTACTTGCCAATCCTTGGAGCAATCCTGGGAGCCGGAAGATCAATCAATCGCAGTCGCTTGCAAGGATGCAAGATACGAATGCGATACTCGAGTAGGCTCGACTAAGTAGTGAGTCTCTGTTTTGGTGATGGCCTTTATCGATATTCAAACCCTATCTAAGGTGTCGAGGTATCTTAAATATATGGCCAGGTTGTAGTAAGAAGAAGGCATGGAAAAGAAAACATGGGATATGTGCCTCCACTTTCGCAACACCTGCCCTGCTACATAATCAGTCCGGGACTCGAGGAAAGAGTACAAAGACAGGGCTACTGTCCGTATGAAGAATTGGCGCTTACCCCGCGAACTTAAGAACTAGGGGGAAATACATGCAGCTCTCAGTCCAGCCCGCCAACTATCTTCCTCCAAGCCACAGTGGCATGCCCTGCTCTGCAGTAGTATTACCATGGGACTTGGAGAGGACGGCGACGGCACTCTTTTGGGCCGTTGCGGGATTCGGCATAAAATGGGACACTAACACCATGCCAATGATAGGGTTCGCAGCACCCCGATATTGATCAGCGATTCCAAACAATAACTAACAATCGAAAGACGTCGCTGGCTGGCTGGCGGTACGTGATTTATTCAGCTCGACACAAGCTTGTAATACGACAAATCGCGAATTGCAGCCAATCAGGAGTAGGGAAAAGCGCGAAAAACCCAGCTCGGGTAGGTTTTCAACGACAGAATCCTTCGAATCTCTCTCTACCCAGCGGATTTCCCTCCATCCTAGTCGAAGGCCCACCAGACCCTTGCTAGGCACTAGTTGCCGTCTGACTTTGCATCTTTCCCAAAGGTCAAGCTCAAGGTCCAGCTCTACGAGGATAGTAGCTCTAGCTGTTGGCCCCGCCATCTGGGCCTTTCCATCTCCCCATGCTGTTTCGATGGTAACACAAAGCGCTCTACACGCAGGCTTGGGAATGGCGATCGCCTCTCAATCTACTACTCCTCACCCACACCACGTCCGCCCACACATATAAGCTAGGCACACGCGGATTAGGGCATCTAGACTGATAGAGTAGCCCAACCTCAATGTCCGGGCGTGTTGCGGGAAAGTCAAATGGCAAGGGAAGTAGAGGAGGGGTAGTATTGACAACTTCTGAGCCAGGGTACTTGGAGATACTACTCGGTAGACTGCACACTAGGTACCTACTTGCGGAGTAGTAGAGTAGGCTTTCTCCCAACTACGATGTACTTCGTACAAGATATACATACTGTTTATACTGTACATACTGTACATACTGTACATACCCATACCTACGCAGTAAAGCGTTGACCAAGCCAAGCCAAGCTTTCTCACCGGTGACCCTACTGACGCCTCTCTAGCTACTAGCTACTATCTACTTACTAGCTACACTACACTACACTACACTACCAGTAGATACCATACCTTAGCAGCCGCGACCCTGCACATGGTTAAAGTACCGTTGCGGGCCCCCGATCTTACGCAAGTATCGTTCCGGTCGAGCCCCTCCCCTCCCTGTCAAGCTCTTTGTTGATGACATCTGGATTCTTCTGGTTATAGTCACACCTGCATGTACCGATGGTGTACAGTACATGCCTACTTAATGTCCGAGGGGTCCAAGTCATCAGATCGCACGCGACGACGACAATAATCTCTCCCTCCCATCCCCTCCCCTCCCTTCCCCTACCCGCGTCTCTCTCCAACTCCCAATCGCGCTCGTTCTGCTGTTATACTGATAGCCCTTCGACCCCTCCGTCCTGTTGAATCTTCTACCTCCGATATAAGGAGTGCAGGCATTGCGCCCTGCCCCGTCTTGCTAGCTTCCTAGACATCTAGACATCGCCGCTCCAAATAATAAAGCAGACGTCGTCGGCAAAGATATGCAGGAAAGGCATGACCAGCCTGTTGTCAACGCGATCCCAAGTACATGAGATCGTAAGTATCTTTGTACCTACTCGTACCGGCACCCCAGTTCCATTTGGGCCGGTGTCCAATTCAAACCCAACGCCAGTCTGCAGGTTGCTAGAACTTCTGCGCACAATAACCTAGACTCCTGCGCCTTCTCAATTTCACGTCCCTTATTACCAGACCCCAGCACCATATTTGACGTTATCTTCAGACATCAGATGTCTAAACGTTCTGAACGAGCAGATCTTGAGTTTCCATTTGGAGTCCCTTCCTCGTCGCACGCCCACCATCATCATCACCATCCTACTCTGGCTGACGCCTCTGTCAAGCTAGAAAATTCACCTTCAAGCGGAGCGCGAAATAAACGAGGTATCCCTGGACCTGGACCTGCAAAACTTCTTGCCATGTCAGGCCCGTCCGGTAACGTACCCATGGGTGGTCAAGAAGGACCAAGCATGAGCTCTCCATCTATGGGCCCACCGGCGAAAAAGAGTCGAACAAATACTCCATGGACGCCTGCTGAAGAGCAAAGGCTGAGGACTATGCGAGATGCGGGAAATAGTTGGGCAGATATCGCAAAGGTGAGATACAATCTGTCTTATCATGTTGAGGTCGCACAAGTATGGAAGCTGAGTGCGAAATGACAGACGTTTCCCCAAAGAACTGAAGGTAGTGTTAAGAAGCACTGGTACAAGGTATGAAGTCATGTTCAATTATCTATCTTTAATTGCAGCTAATAGATACTAGGATATGCACTATGCAGAGTTTGCGGAGGACGAGGTGAGTCTATCTTGAGCGCAATATACCCCGGGTTCTGATGCTCAGTCAGGGCCAGGCTCTCCTTAACGCCATCAAAGAGTACGACGCGAATAAGTGGAAGGCGATCGGCCTCAAAGTTGGCAAGCCACCCAAGGTCTGCGCTCCCTCGAATTCCCACTGAAGAAATACCTTATTAATTTCCCGTAGGCCTGCGAACAGTATGCCAAAGAGCATTTCGGGAAGTCATAATTCTGTCCTTGCCTCCGACAGATCCACGACGACACTTTCCCAACACTTCCCCACTCCTTTTTCAACTCGGGGAGTGGCATATCCAACATTGGCGATCTTCTAGCAAGCGCTTGCTTCAACTGGCCTCTCATTTCCGCCTTCTGTTTCTGGGCATCACGGCGCGCGGCCGAATGGCGCACAAAGGGGCCCTTGTCGATGGAAGTCTTTTAAGGGGCGAGGACTTTTCGTTTCATGGGCGTTCTACTTCTATTGGCGCAATTCTTTAATGGACTTGGTTTTGTTTACAGTGGACTGGGCTGGACGGTTGTCTGAAATACATAGCATGGTTTGGTTTGGACTTTCGATCTGCGGTGCGATCAGGCGCGGTGTGTTCAAGGAGGAATCGGGGAATACCCAGTGGAATAAAATGCGTCGATCAAGGTCAATATACTCCCCGTTCCAAAGGTCTTTGTTGCACTAGAGGAGTAAGTTGTTGAGAATGCAGGTGGGGATCGAAGATAAAACCGCCGCTTCTGTGATACCGTCGGCTCGTGTCTCGGGTAGGTGCGTGGCCGCATGTGTCAAACCTGCAGCATTCCGTAGATGGGGATTTAGAATCCAGACCTTTGGGTTTTAATTCTGTAATTGAGTAAATCCTTTGGACAAGGACAATAGGGGAGAGCTTGAGCACGGACATTTCTCCATGATAGCTTGGCATCGAAAACACCCCACCTCCCCGATGCGGGGCGTGAAGAATATATCTTGCGTAAAGTGATACATGGCATGATGGCTTTGGATATGGGGGGGACGATATTTTGCTTTTTATGACCTGTTTTGGGGGCGTCGGCCTAGACCATGAGGCTGAAGACTGTCCGGCCACATCTACATTCACAGGATCACTTCTATTAACCTGTACTACTTAGGCGTGTAGGTATATAACAAGAAGAAACTACCTATTGACTACCTACGGGTAGATCCATACAAATGACAGTAGTGAAATCGGTCATTCTCCACGCCGAGGCCCACTACTATATAATGGTGTGATGATGCGGTACCTACCTATAGGTAGTATCAAGCTACAAATAAGGCGCAAGAAAGAGATTTATTAATCCAGATCCAGCTAATCCAAACATGTGATTTCAAGGCTTTGTACTGATCTTCTTCTGATATAAGAGTTTCGCAGTGGTCCAAAACTCGTATCTTTTCTGCTCTTCGTTCAGTTATATACCTATAGAGTTGGAGTAAGTACCGAGGTAGGTACAGAGTACAAGCAGCGAAGATGAACAAGCGAGGCTTTCCAACCGGCGTAGTGCAGCGTACCGTACCGTACCATACATACCATACCAAAGTTTTGGTATTAAGCTTAATTACAAGGTTTCCTGCATTAACATTTGAATCCATGAAGATATACTTCTTGTGACAATGCCATCGAGTCGTGTTTTCCGGTGTTTGTTCAGTTCAGAACTTGCCTTGCCGAGCTTGCCTTGCCACCCGCAGCCGTGTCCGATACGAGATACATCCTACGTCGGCGCTTTTAGCAATTCTTTAAATAATCACACACCGGGGACCCGCAACGGCTTAATATCATCGATTCAATTGGTTGATATGAAGCCCCGTGGCCAATCACCTGTCTTTCTGTACTCCTGAGTCCTTGCCGCTATGAATGTCAACGGGGAACCTGGCCTGGACATGGGTGGAGTAAAAGTCTTCTACCCCTGCCCTGCTGCCAATATACGGAGTACAGCACTCATGCCATCGCACGATTGACTCCTTCCCTCTTCTCCTCATCGCCGTATCGATCACCGACGACATCCTCCATCCCATCGACGACTTCCGGTCGCTTTACCTTCGCTGAACGTTGTTCAATACACCCGCTTCTTCGCATTCCCAAGTCCAGCCCCTAATAGCTCGATCTTTCCCTTTTGTGGAAGCAACGATCTTTGGAGCCTGTCCTGCATCTGCACCTGCCCGTTAAGCATATCGAGACAAGAAAGTCAAATATCGCGGAGCCCGATTGGAATAATATACACTCGTTCTACAACACATCATCAATATCATATCCATCTGCTGCACTCGCCCGCGGTTTGTGACACCTGCATCTTTTATCTTCTCTCAGACTCGGATCGCTCGAGGCGAAATCTAATTGCTTTATTAATACCGCTCTCTGCGAATCCAATATACATAATGGTTCGAGCAATAATCATCGCCGCTTTGGCCACCGCATCGACGGTCTTTGCTTCAAGTGCCACAACCTGCTCTCTTACTCAGAAATGCCCTTCGGATACACCATGCTGTTCGCGTAAGTGGTGTCCTCACGATTCGAGCATCCATCTACCAGCGAGCTAATAATTTATTTCTTAGAATATGGCGAATGCGGTGTTGGAGCATACTGCCTGGGAGGCTGTGATCCTCGAATGTCTTTTGGACTCGACTCTTGCGTAGCTGCGCCTGTCTGCGAGAGCAAAACATACAACTTTAATAACCTGGATCGAGTCATGTCGAACACAAAGTACCTCGGGGATTCGTCAAAGACTGACTGGGTCGCGGATGGCAATCCACAATTATACAACAATAACTTGCTGTTGACAATGGCACCTGATAGTGTGGGAACTCTGCTTGCAAGTTCTACATATATGTGGTATGGAAACGTGAAGGCTACGTTTAAGACTAGCAGAGGGCAAGGTGTTGTCACTGCTTTCATTCTGCTCTCGGATGTCAAGGACGAAATCGATTACGAATTCGTTGGAGCGGATTTGGAGACGGCGCAAACCAATTATTATTTCCAAGGCATTCCGCAATGTAGGTTAGCCCTGACTTTTGCGAAAGGAAAATTCTAACACAGTCATAGACACTCACGGCGCAAATATCTCGCTTTCGGATACATTCAACAACTACCATACATACGAAATTGACTGGACGCCTGACCAGATTACATGGAAGGTAGATTCACAGGAAGGCCGGACTTTGAAGAGGGCCGATACTTGGAACGCAAGCACGAACCAATGGATGTACCCCCAGACTCCTGCTCGTGTTCAGTTGTCCCTCTGGCCTGGTGGTCTGGCATCGAACGGACAGGGTACAATCGACTGGGCTGGTGGTCTGGTTGATTGGAACGCGGCCGATATCAAGAACAACGGTTATTACTATGCGACATTCCAGTCCGTTACCGTCGACTGCTTCAACGCCACATCTGCACCAGGAACTAACGACGAGACTTCTTACACATACAACAGCCTTGCGGGTACTAATGATACCGTAGTTGATGGCAAGAACTCGACGATAATCAAGTCACTCATTGGAACGGGTACCGATCCGGATGCAGGAGCTGCATCTGGCAGCAGCAGCAGCAGCAGCTCTTCTGCAACTGCCACTGTCGAGACCGTCCCAGGTCGTTCCGGTGGGAACACAGGTTCTGACAACCACGATGACAGCAGCAGCAGTAGCACTGCTTCATCCGCAAGCACCGCTACCATCTCATCTGATACAAGCGCTAGCACTTCTACAGGCAGCAGCAACGGTCAATTTTCCCAAGGCGGCGGCTCGTCATCTTCGAGTTCATCGAGCTCTAAGAGCGGTGCTGATAAGCTTGGTGCTACCCAAGAAAAGGTGCTTAAGGGAAGCGTGTTCGCTGTGATTATTGCAGTTGTAGCCATGATGGCCCTGTAGGAGCATTCAGGAGGGTTAATGATATTAGTTCGGATTGCTGCATTTTGGATGGTTAGGCATTTATTTCCCCGCGTTGATGTTTATAAAATAATGGCGTTGGCCGTCCACTCGTTTTGATTTATGGGGAGAAGGACAAGTAGAGGAGAGGAGATGAGAGTTTCTTGTACAAATTTCTGGATGGAGTGCGGAGAGATCCGTGATGAGAGAATGAAAAGTTTTTTAAGAACTGTACTCGGGCTTAGATATGTGTGGGATGTGCAAAGTTGAGAAATAGTGTAACAGTAACCGTTGTCTCAAATCTAGTTAAATCCCGAAATCACTCGAAAAGCTTCATTGATCGACAAAAGCAAGCTCCCCGCCCATTGCTCACTTTGATTAATTCCAATCTAAAGAATAATTCTGTATTTTTGGAGAAAGTCAAGATGTATGACACAATACATATCTAGTAATACATATCTAGTGCATATATCTATCTGATATCAAAACCCAAAATCAATCCAGCGTGCACATATACCAGATATATCAATCCATTAACCCAAACTCCTATTCCCCAATCCCATATCTAAACCATCATACACCATCCCCCTCTCTCCCTCAACCCTCAAGTACCATAATCACACTCCCTCCAATAACACCCCCCAACACAGCAGCGGTCAAAAACCCAGCCGCAACCTTATCCTTCATCCCCACCGGCTTACCCACCCCTACCCCCGCCGCATCCGCAGCCTTCGGGATGCCCGCCTCGGATCCCCCACACTCGTTCCCCCCGTCGCGTTCGTGACCGGCGCAAAGCCCTGCGCCGGCGACACAGTCCCGCCTCCAGCTCCAGCGACCGCTTTCACAGGAACAGCCACGATAGCGCTCTGCAGCACGGCCAGCGCGCTCATGCTCTGGCCGATGCCGAAGTTCCCATC